TCCTGGAAGCTCACCCACAGAGGGCCAGGCCTACTTCACTTCACCCCGGGTTTCACCTCGTGAACTCCCAGCCAGTCAGGCGCTCTGGATTCACCATGCAGTGAATAAGGAAGATAGTCCCTGCCCCTGTGGAGTTCACGGATCAGTGAGAGTGACAAACAAGCCAATACATAATTCTAAAGGATGGGAATTGCTGTATGGTAAAGGACGATTAGTGACAGACATTAATCAGGACATCTGCTTTAAACGGGAGAACTAGGGCAGGAGTAATTTCTTATGGGAGGAGCATATAAGCAGATAGCCGCGAAGTGAGTATGAATGTGCCTGGTAAAACAGAGAGGTGTGTGCAGAGATCTCTAAGCAGGTTCTTCCCCTCACTGCAGAGGCCAGGATGGAGGCTGAGGCAGGGAGCAATGCCCAGGATGAGGCAGAAGGGAGGCTGAGGCCAGGCTCCCTCAGGAGGCACTCAGAGCATCATGGGAGGATTGATCTTCTGAGGGAAGAGGACACTCATTCTCTTTTAATGAGAAAGGGAAAAAATAGCAATGGCTGTCAGCACAGACGGGTTTACAGCAGGTAGAGCCTGCTCTTGTCTAATGGTTTTTATTTTCACTGAGAAAGAAGAGGTAACTAAAAGTGGCTGAGGTAGGCGTGATGGTGCACGCCTGTATTCCAGCACTTAGGGAGGCTGAGGCAAGATCGCCAAAAATTCAAGGCCAGGCTGGTCTACACGGTGAGTTCACGGTCAGCCTGGACTACATAGTGAAAAGCTGTCTCAAAAAACAAAAACCAAAATAAATAAAAGTAGCTGAGCTGGAGGAGAGTCTTGAAGGCACAAACCCCCATCGATGAGGATGAAAGAGGGAGCTAACTGCGGAGATTTCTGACGTGGGAACAAGTAGTTGAAGTTGATGGGCATTTTACCATGACGACAGTTTGTCCTCTGGGCTGATTGTCTCTCCATTGGTCCTTAGCTGCTCCACAGCAAGTGCAGACAAAAGCTGGGGGTGAGGATTAACCAGGGAGGTGGGATGAAGAGGACAGATTAGGAGGGGTTGAGGGCATTTAGAAGAGGGTTCCTGCTACAAATCTGGAACTGAATGAGGCAGAGAAGGGGAGAGGGAAAGATGGGAAGGGTCAGCTCCCCAGGGAACTTGAGAACAGCTGCAGTAAACCAACTTAGTAAATGAGCCACGAGGAAAGGAGATCATATCAGGGAAGAGGAGGTTTGATTCAGTTATTTCGTAGGTGCTGCAGTTTCTGGTGATGATAAGGCTCCGGCTCTGAGGTGGCCGTGACTTGGCACAGGAATGGAGAAGGTCAGAGAGGAGGCTCAGCGTGCTGCAGGGAGCATCGTCTGCAGGACAGTACCTCAGCCGTGACTGCTCTCACCCCCTGGTCCCGGTCCACCTGCTCACTTTTTGTCCCTCATTTTCTATCTCCACACAGTCTTCCTCCCCTTCACACCCAGCTCTCTCCCTTCTGTTCCTTTGTCTAAACTCTCCCCTCCTCATCACCACCCTCCTCTTCTCCCTTTGTCCTTTCTCTCCTCACAGTGTCACGTCCCCTCAAGAAGCAGGGCATGGGTTCAAATGCCACTCTACCATTTACCACCTATGCACACTGCCTGACTTTACTGTGCCTCTGTTGTAAAATAATAGTAATACCTGGAAGAATTCCCTGAGGACAAAGCACTTGGAGCAATGTGCGGGCACAAAGCAGTGCTCAATGGAGTGACTTCTTATCTCCTTATAATTTATTTATTATTTATTTACTTTTTTTCAGTACTGGAGAGTGAACCCAGAGCCTTCCTTTATACTAAGATATATCCCCAACACCTTTTTTGTTTTTTATTTAAAGACAGAGTCTCGGTAAGTTATTAAATTGCCCAGGCTATGCCTGAATTTGCAGCCCTTCTGCCTCAGCTTCCCAGAGTGCTGGGATTATAGGCATGTGCCACCACACCAGACAGCTTTCTCTGTCTTGATCTCATCATCTCCACCACCCCTCTGCAGCTACTTCATACATCTTCAGAGAGGCAGAAGTGCAGAAGACTCAGCCCCTGTGAGAGATGCCTATAATTGTAGCACTTGGGAGGCTGAGGGAGAAGGATCAAAAGTTTGAGTACCAGTTTGGACGATTTAACAAGATTGGGTCTCAAAGTAAAAAATAATGTAGTTCAGTGGTAGAATGCCCCTGGGTTTAATTCCCAGTACCACACACACACACACACACACACACACACACCAAAAAAAAAAAAAAAAAAAAAAAAAAAAAAACAGAACAAGAAAACTAGCCCCTGCCAGCCCAGCAATCCACTAGGGAAACACACAAAGTCAGAATACTATAATAAATATTTCATCAAAGACATGACAGAAATCCTATTTGGAAAGTCAAGGATATGCAAACTAATTCTGCTTAGGAGAGCAAAAGAGAAGTCTTGGTGGTCAGATGAACTGGATAGGGGCTGAGGATTTGGCTCAGTGGTAGAACACTTGTCTAGCAAGCTGGAGGCCCTGGGTTCGGTCCTTAGCACCAAAAAATAAAAAACAAAACAAAAACAGATAAGCTGGATGTTGAAATATGAGGAAGAACCTACAGGGCCAAGGCAGGAAAGAGGCTCCAGGGAAGAGCACAGGTGTTTCTTTCAGGAGCCTCCTCCATCTGGACAGGGCTGACAACAGGTCCTCAACAAGTATGTGTTAGCTGACTGGCACTTGCTGTGGGAGGCTACTGTATTAGGTCTGTGGGGCTTCATGCAGCTGCTCACAGGCATGTGGGTGAGGGAAGGTGTTCCTAAGTCTCTCCTGCTGGTGTGGGAAGCTCCGCCCATATATCTGAAGTAGGATCCACCACAGCCCTTAAAGGGCACACCTTCTTTCAGCCTGGCCACAAGGGAGCAGCAAAGCATTAAAAGTGGCTGCAGATGAAGGGCCACAAACCTGGACAGCCACACAGCCCTTCAATCCAGCCCACAAACACTAACCAGCTTTCCCCTAGAATCTTGAAGGGAGAAAAGTTTCAGACACTTGGAGGAGCCTAGGTTTGTCTTAGAGAAAGAACAAGAATCTCCTAAACATTTGTTTTTATGGTACTGGGGATTAAACCTCTAAAGATTTGTATATAAACTGATTTAAATTTTTTTTCCTCTGAGTTGAAAGTATGTCTAATGAGTATTCTTTATTTGACTTAGTTTTTACTATGATCTAGATACTGTCCACTGTATTTTATGAATATTCATTACTTATTCCTCAAAACCTTATAAATACAAACATCCCCATATTACAGATGAGAAAACTGAGGCAGTTAGCTAAAATTTTACACATAGCAAGTGGCAGAGTTGCTTCTACCCCAGAGTTTAGACATCTTGCTTGTAGTCAGTAGTTCCAGCCACTGTTTTGATGTTGAAAAGCATGGAATCTAGCCTCTCCCGTAAGTCAGGAATCCTCTATTAAATTAAATTAAATTTACTTATTTATTTATTTAGTGCTGGGGCTCAAACTCACAACCTCATGCTTACAGGTAGGTCCTTTGCCCCTGAGATATATTCCCAGGCCTTGGAGGTCCTTTAATTCTTAGTTCTATCACTAATTAGCTATGCTGGCTTCTGTCATGTCATTTCACCTTTGACTCGCTTCTTCAAAAGTGCAGTAATGGGGGCTGGGGATTTAGCTCAGCGGCATAAGCACCTGCCTTGCAAGCAGGCGGTCCTGAGTTCAATCCCCGGTACCGATAAAAATGAAAAAGACAAAAAGAAAAAAAAAAAGTTCAGTAATGGGATCAAATTTGCACTTTTGTACACACAGTGATGTAAAGGTCCCACATTGTACAAGGAAGCCAGCTCCCTTCAAGAAGTTTAGGGTATATGAGGAATGAGGCGTGTGGAATTTGGGTTGGAGGTGTAAAGACAGTTGCCCTGGAGTAATTAGAGGAAAGATGGGAATTAGTCAGGCAGGGCAGGTGGAGCATCAGAAACAGAAAGCATATAATGAGAAAACACAAAATAAAGGAAAAGAGAGCTCCAAGAATTTAGTGAGAGAGAGAGAGTGTGTGTGTGTTACAAGGACTGGATCCAGGGAGTGCTATACTACGAAGCTAGATCTCCAGCCCCGTTTATTTTTTTTAATTTTGAGATAAAGTTTCACTAAATTTCCCAGGCTAGACTTGATCATATAATTCTCCAGCCTCATTCTCCCAAGTGCTGGGATTACAGTGGTGTTCTAGCCCCTACAAACAGATCAGAATATCTATTAGTGTTCACTTTAAGAGTTCTTTCCCTCCCTGCACACCTGGAAGGAGGTTCTGTGACGTCTCACAGACCTAACACAGCAGTTTCTCATAGGAGTTGTCAGTCAACTAGCACGCATCTGTTGTGTACCTACTAACAGACCTACACAGACGTAGAAGATACCTGAAAGTCTTTCAGTTTGGTTAGAGGCCAGCCAGCTCTGATAGTGGGGCTAGTCCCCTGCAGTGGCCTGTTTGCCCACCTGTTTGCTGTTATCGGTGAACCAAAGAATGGCCCATACCTCACCTCTTATGTTCACACCAAATTTTAATTTCTGGAGTGCTTCCAAGGCTTTCTATCAGAAAGGCAGGGCATTAGGATGCAGAGGTAGAAAAAGATCAGGAAAATGTTCCACTGTGGAAAAGGCAGGTTTCTCTCTGGAAAAGTCAGTTGCAGGGGCTGGGGATTCTGCGACAGTGCATGAGGCCCTCGATCTGATACCCTGTGGCAGTGAGAAGGCTGCAAAGGTCATTGGACACTCCCCTCCCACAGTGCTCCACCTCTTGCAACCCTGGAAGAAGATGACTCTGGCCCTTGTGGTTCATATCCGACTTCCTTGGCAGAGAATTGTAGATTAAGTCAACAACACTCAAATCTTAGAAACACAAGCAAGAGTGGTGTGGGTGGGTGAAAAGCGAGAAGTGAGAAAAGGCAGAAACAAGCCAACGAAGAAGCGTCAGAAGAGTCAACAGGGTTCAGGTCAGGACGAGAGATGCTGCTGCTCTTCCTCCTTGAGGTAGCCACAAGCAGGTGTCTCCATGATGAGACTCAGAGGTCAGTGAGCCTCCTCAGGCCCTCTTTCTCCAAACTGCACCCAGATTCCCGTTCTTCTCTCCCCCTCCCTGGTTCTCATGATCCTCGACCCCTCCGAATCCAAGCCTACTATGAGGGAGACCCTGTATCCGCTGCTTGGGATGCCTCTGGAGATGGGCTGAGAGGGGTATCCCGCGCTCTGGCTGCAGTGAGAGAGGCCACTCAGCGAATCCAGGGTGTCCTGGCAGGTGAGTGAGGGAACGGGAGGCACCAGGAATGGTTGCAGGCTAGAGAGGTCTCGGAGATGAAGACCAGCCTGAAAAAAACAACTTAGAGGTGTCAGGGTGAAACTGTCCTCTTGTCAAGTTCCTCCAGTACAAGGACCCCTGCTTCTGAGCCGAGACTCTGCACAGTACTGCCATGCTGTCTGGGGAGACCCTGATACCCCAAACTACCACAGGTGAGTTTACATCCTTCTTTGGGGATACAAGAAATTTCTCCAGTTCTCCTACAGATACTCATTTTTGGCAGGTGTAGCCTTCTGAACCCAGGTTACACAGGAGAGAGTTGCCTGGGAGCGAAGGTGAGAGCAACTTCCCAGACTTAGGAATCTGAAAATGTCTAGCCTGCTTAGATCTGCCCTAAAACTTCCCCTATCAGAATTACTCAATACACTGGAAGGTTGTATTGTGTGGATTCTTTGGTCTCCCCTCTCTACCTCCTAAAATATATTAAAACAAACACTAGGTGGTGGGGGCTGGATGCTGCATCCAGCTGCTACCTGGAGGACACTGACAGACCAAGGGTACTCACTCTCCCTTCCTCCTAGCACTGAGCTCCCCACGATCCCTGTCCCACCAACACTCAGCTAGACACATTTCACTCTCTTCCAGGTGCCTGATGCCCATCTCCGTGGATATGCCTTGTGGCCAGAGCAGGGTCCCCCACAGGTGGTGCAACCAGATGGTCCTGGGGTTCAAAATGCTGATTTCCTTCTGTATGTGCGGATTGCCCACACCTCCAAGTGCCACCAAGAGGTGATGTTCAAACCAAATCCCTTTTCCTTCTTAGTTCTTTAATCTTAAATCTTGTTAGTGAGGTAGGAAAGAGAACATCAGTTCTTAAGTTGTGCTTTTTTGGGGAAACTTCAAGTATGCTGACAAAGCTTAGGTAGGGGCCAGGAACCCCTCACGCCATGTCTTAGTACCACCCCTTCGGAGTCCTCAAGTCTTCTATTTTTAGGGAGAGCCCTTCTATGTACATCACCTCACTGTTCTTTGTACCCTAATCTCTCCTGGCTTTCTGTCCACAGCCCTCCGTCATAGCCTATGCCGCCTATTGCCAGCTGGATTTAGAAGACAGGCCGGTTGCTGGTGCCATTGTCTACTGTGCCCAACATCTCACCAGCCCCAGCTTCAGCCACAATGACCTTGTCATGGTGACTGCTGCATGATGAATAGGGTCAAGCAAGCAAGTAGGGGCGGGGCCGCTCCACTTCCAGGAAGTGGAAGAGGCGCCTCAAACTCTGAGAAATGTTGAAGGGGCCGAGGGACCAGTCAGCCCATCCTGCGGCAAATTCATCCTCCTCACTCAGCAGTCATTTGTCCTTAGGTCACGCTACATGAACTGTTCCATGCCCTGGGTTTCTCTGGACAGCTCTTCAAGAAGTGGCAGGATTGCCCCTCAGGATTCAGTGGTGAGAGGAACAGGAGAGAAAGTCCCACCAAGTCAGCCAGGGGGACTTAATATCTCATGACCTCCCTCTTTCCAGTTCTATTTCACCCTTCCTAGGTTTCCTCTCCTGACATTGCTTTGTCTTCTCTTTATCTACTCAGCTAGAGAAAATTGTTCTACCAGGCAACAAGTGACAAGACGAGATAAGTGGGGACAGCTGCTTCTCACCACCCCAAATGTTAGCCACAGCCTGGCCAAACACTTGGGGGTGTCAGGGGTTTCTCTGGGTGTTCCTTTGGAAGAAGAGGTAAGAATGGTATCTTGGGGTGATGGAAGAAAAAGGGAGTAGCCAGAGAGCAATCATCTATTTGCTGCCTCCTCCAACAGGGCCCTCTGTCCTCACATTGGGAAGCCAGACTGCTCCAGGGCTCAATAATGACAGCTACTTTTGATGGTGCCCAGCGAACTCGACTTGACCCAATCACTCTTGCTGCCTTCAAAGATTCAGGGTGGTATCAGGTCAACCACAGTGCTTCAGAGGAGCTGTTGTGGGGCCAGGGTGAGGAATAAGGGAGATCTACAGAGCAGCCTCATGACCCAAGTCAGCTCTGGGGGCAAGTATGATGCAGTAGGTTGGAAGGGATTCCTGTATCGGGTATTCTGGTGAAATCCAAGCAGAAAGCATAAGCAGCAGGGCTCAACTTTGAGTCCTCCAGCCTCAGTCAGCCACCTAGAGTGCAGTGTGGTTATTACAGGCCTGAGCCATCATGCCTGACTGGCTGCATTTTATTTATTTATTTATTTTTCCAGTCTATGTATTCTAGGCTGAACACACTTTGTAGCTCAAGGTGGCCTAAAATTTCAAATTTGTAATCCTCCTACCTCAGTCTCCCAAGTGCTAGGGTTGTAGATGTGCACAACTTCTGGCCTAGGGCTTTCTTTTCCTTTTTCTTTTGGGCTGTACTAGGGATTTTTGAACCCAGGGCCTTCACACTAGGCTACATTTCCAAACCTTTTTTAGGTTGTGGTATGTTGTTTGTTTTGTTTTGCTTTGACACAGGGTTTTGCTATGTAGTTCAGACTGCCTTGAACTATGTAGCCCAGGCTGGCCTGAAACTCACAGCGATCTTCCTGCCTCAGTTGCTTGAGTTCTGCATGTGCCACCACACCTGGCTTTTCTTTTACTTTTAAAACTAAAGTCGCTCAAAATCACCAAACTGCCCAGGCTGAGCTTGCATTGGTGTTCCTACTGCATTAGTCTCCCACAGTCCTGGGATGAGAGGGATGGGCTGGCACACCCAGTTGGGGCTTATTTCTTGAGGGCGCCCTTTCTTTTTCTTTCTCAAGCAGGAGCTGGCATAGAATTTGGCTTGGTGACTACATGTGGAAATGACTCCTCAGACTTCTTCTGTACTGGCAGGTGTGTGTGCTGAGTGGTTGGGAGACTGCACAATGATCCTAGTGTCACCCTACCATCCCTTTCACACAGTGGGCTGGGATGCCATTACCTGCACCTGGACAAGGGAAACTGCTCCTCAGACCCCATGCTGGAAGGCTGCCGCATGTACAAACCCTTAGCCAATGGGGTGAGTAGACTAGGGAGCAGAGAATAGAACTGGGAGTCAACTTCTAAGGCATCAAACGAACACTATTCTTCTGTCCCACCTTTCAGAGTGAATGCTGGAAGAAGGAAAATGGACTCCCTGATGGTGCAGAAAATCCTCATGGGGAAATCTATCATTCCCAGAGTCGCTGCTTCCTTGCCAACCTTAGTTCACAACCACCCCCTGAGATCAAAGCTAGCCATTCTTCCCAGATCCCACATGTCAAGGAAGCAGAGCTTACTGGCCGCTGCTACCTACATCAATGTACACAGAAGGAAGCATATATGGTGCGAGTGGATGGATCACCTTGGGTTCCATGCCTTCCAGGAAAGCATATTAAGGCGGGTATTGTAAGGGTAACAGTTGTGCTGCACTGGCAAAAGGAAATTGGGAGGGGCTGGGAATTTAGCTCAGCGGCATAAGCGCCTGCCTTGCAAGCAGACAGTCGTGAGTTCAGTCCCCAGTATCGATTAAAAGGAAAGAGACAAAAAAAAAAAAAAAAGGAAATTGGGAAATGCTTGCACCATACTATTATTCGACCTATTGTAATGCTCCTGTTTTACTAAGTACCTACTGGGCCCATAACTTTGATTTAGAACGTACATTTTCCCCAAAGGAAAAAGGCTTGAGCCGGTAATGGGAGGCTGCAGCTAAATTCTGCTTGTGTATGTATTTCCTTGCAGATACCTGGGTACTTTGGTCTCCTCTACTGTCCCCAAGGTCGGTTATGTCAGACTAATGAAGGTACAAAGGCAGTTACTTCTCCATCTGTGAGTCTTTCCACACAAGACCTGCTCTTCCAGCTTTCTTTAGGATTAGCTGGGCCCTCAGGCTACTTACTGGGCAAGGGACAGAGAGAAGAGCTGGCTGAAGCAGTCCTGCAGGTTCTGGTGAACAGAAGTGGCACTGGCAGGTAAAAGGACAGCTCAGGTTGAGTAATTATAAAATGGGCCATCTGTCCCCTCTCCTTAGCCTGGATCTCTTTCATGAAATGCACACTTCCTGGGATTATCCTTCCATTAACAGATTCAAATATCTACTTAGGTGCTATTTCCACAGCCCATCTATTACCACTGATTTGGTGTTCACTGTGCATATGTTGAAGTCCCCTGGCTGCCAAGGGCCTTCGGTCACCGTGCTGTACAGGACCCTGATCCTGACTCTCCAGGAGAAACCTCTAGAAGTGTATCATGGCGAAGCCAGCTTCACCACAGAATACAGCAAGTAAGAAAATATCCTGAGCAATTTTCTTCTGAATCCCCACAGTCCAGATGTTTAAATTTGCACTTATTAAGCACATATTCATGTATATAGTGTCCTAGATAGGGCCATGCATTTCAGAAAATATCCCTAATATCATCACCTTGGGCCCATAACTGTGGTATCCTCCTCAAACACAGTAATGGAGCTCCTCCATCTCTTAAGCACCCCAGTGCTCCTTCCTTCCTTCATCAGTACTGAGATCATGTCTAGTTACCTCAGCACCAGTGACAACCCTCAAGTAATTTCATTACCAAAATAACTCCTTTCAACAATTTAAATTCCTAGCGAATTTGGATCTTGGTCTTATTCCTACTTTCAGGACATTCCCGATTTAAGGTTTAATGTTTTGATGAAACAGGGTTTCATAATACACAGTATATAGTTATATACATACCTATACCTTTGCCTCCTCTGGCTAGGTACTATGCCAGGCCCAATAGTGCCTTCTATGCTCCTAGGTTACTGGTTACCTCAAACCGTAATTCCTCCATGACCCGCCTCTTTGTGTCTGTGGGACTCTGTCTACTGCTGCTAATTCTAGTGGGTACACTGGGAATTGTGGCCTATCAAAAACAAGCTACTCTTCGAGTGGGACCATCTACCCCTCACCATCACCAGACACATGGCACAAGGGGCTCAACTGGAATAAGGGAAGTTTGATGTTACCAAAAACGACATGGGGAAGGATTATTTCTTGAGACAACTGAATGGAACATGTAATGTGTATATGTAAGCTCTTGTTTTCTAGAATGCCTCCTTCCCAGGATACCAACTCTATTCTAGCCTTGCATTGAAAAAAACTGGTTATGCTCTTATGGCTAAAATATAACATTATGACTAAGATATCATCATATATTTTGGTTATGAAGATGTTATTTTGGTACAAACAATAAACTCTTACCTTGTAAAGTGTCACTTATTCTTGTACTGTTTTCCAACACAAACAGTACAAAAGCACTGTGCTTGCTTACAACATGCAAGGCCCTGAGTTCAATCCTTAGTATAACAGTAACAAAAAGAAGATACTACAGTTTGGTATTTTTATTTTTCACTACAGTTGGAGTCAAACAGTATGAAGAAGGAAATAACTATCTCCTCCTAGTTTTCCATAATTTTATTAAATCACTGGAGTGAGACTGTAACATAATTATGACTGGCTAAGGCTAGTAAAACCAAACCAGAATCCAGCTAAATAGTAAAAATGCCTTTTATTGTTTTTTCCTGTTTCTGGGGGACAGTTCTTTATCTGTCACAGGCCAGCAGTAGGCTTGAGTTATAACACGTAGTTTCTTTTTGGTTATAGTTCCAAAGGAGTTATTAAGTTCTTGAGGTTTTGACAGCTCTTGGAAACCACACTAGGAGACTGATATGATCTGCATTTGCACTGATGGATAATCTTTATACTGAGTCCATCTGACACACTGATAAAGTTGAAATAAATAAGTCTGTTCATCAGCAAGTTCAGTCAACTCACTGGGATATCACACCCAAATATCTGATGTGTATGATTGAGTTCTCACTACAGTGACAGCCTTGGCTCCATCAGTTGTGGTTTATTCTTTAATCTGAATGCCTATCAATCTTTACCAGCTGTAGCAGCCACTGCTTGGTAAAATTTTGCCACGAAGTCTGGGTCACTGACCTCCAGCTGTCTGACAAATTCATTACGCTCCTGCTCAGCCCAACCTCGAAACCACTGATCCCAAAGACGGAGCTGACACTCAAAGATACAAGGTGGTCGGTTTGTTCCAGACACACTAAGCTGCTCCAGACTATCTAGCAGTGGCTGTAATTTTCCTGGCACTGCCTTGGCTACCAAGTCCTGTAGAAAACGTTCACGTTGAGGATCTGACCAACTGGCAAACCAGTGAAGAATACACTTCATCTCCTGGGAGGTGATGTAAGACATTGGAGGAATGGAAGAACTGGTAATAGTGTCTGGTACCGTGGGTAACAGAGAAGGGAAGGGCAGTGAAACTGAAGAGGAAGGTGATTCCAGTGGCATCCTGAAATATAAAGGTATTGTTATACTCTCTTCAAGCATACTGCATTCAGTCAACATAATTTTTCACCAACTTTTTATATAAATGCAAGAAAATCCTTTACTTCCATCATTATCCAATTATCTTAAAGAGACGTCACCCAAGAAGAATTTTTTTTTTTGTCTTTTTCTTTTATCGGTACCAGGGATCAAACTCACGACCACACACTTGCAAGGCAGGTGCTTATGCTGCTGAGCTAAATCCCCAGCCCCATCCAAGAAGAATTTCATACTTGTCCCTTTTCTTTTTCAAACCCTTTATCTTCTCCAACCACATTCCCCACCCCTTTTTCTTTGGTACGGGGATCGAACCCACGACCCTCACGACCATTCGACCGTTTGATTGCAAGGCACTTATGCCATTGAGCTACATCCCCAGCTCTTCATCTCACTTTTTTTTTTTTTTTTTAACAAGGAATCTAAAAATAGCCAATCAGAGCTGAGGATGTAGCTCAGCAGCACAGCACCTGCCTGGCAAGCGCAAGACCTTAGGTTTAGGTCTTAGTACCAAAAAAAATAATAATAACCAATCAAGCCAGCCTGGGAAACACAGAAGGACGATGCCTAACATATGTCTTGCTTTCTCTCTCCCTTCTACTTCTGTTTTCCAACTTGAGGAAAAAAACAAAACAGTAATTAATGATTCACATTCTCTTCTCTAAAATGAAAAAGTGAACTTTTAAAAAAATCTTACATGCAGCACATCAGGGCCTAAATGCTAATTGTCCCAAAGCTATCAACTGTGAAAAAACGGAAGAGGAGGAGAAGAAAGTATAGCTCAACATGGTTTCACATGCCTCTAATCCAGTACTCTGGAAAGCTGTAACAGGAGGATCAAAGTTGAAGCCCATCTTAGGCAACTCAGAAAGATCTTTCTGAAAATAAAAATAATCATAATCATAGTAAATTAAAAAGAGGTGGGGATGTAGCTCAGTGCAAAGACCTTGGGTTCAATCCTCAATACTATAAAAAGAAAAAACACCATATATATGATGAAACAGCCTTCTTTGCAATGTGCATGTGGGCTTAGGCCCACTTAACATTTCCTGCAAAACAAGTAAACACTGAAGGGCAGGATGAGGGTTTTGCTCCAAAAATGCTAACAACGAAATGAGAAGTCAAATTTTCAGAGCTCTGAAAAGTCCAGCTGGTTTGTTGCCAAAAAGGTCTAACAAGTGTTAGTGATGTGACCTTTTGTTTCTTTTTAATAATTCTCCTTAATGTTTTTTATCTACTGATGTCCTCCCATTGATTCTGCATCATGAATCTAAGACCAAAAGTCCAGCTACTTTAGCTTGAAGTGTTTTCAGCCCTATAGTTTTAATGTCTAACAGTGAAAATACTATCATCATTATTATTATTTGTCTTTTTGGGATAGGGTCTCATTACGCAGTTCAGGCTTGCCTTGAGCTCACTCTGTAACCCAGGCTGGTCTCAAACTCGCAACAATCCTCCTGCTTCAGCCTCCGAGTGCTGGGATTACAGGTGTGTGCCACCATGACTGGCATTAAAATACTTTTCCATAGCACATTACTGTATTTCTTCCGCTGAAAGTTTAAAGACTTGTGGTGACAAAGAAAGGAACCCTTAATATTTTAAGAACCAAAACAGTTCAGTGTGGCCGCGGTTTTCAAAATGGCTCTATAGGAGGCTGCTCCTTCTCCCTAAAAAAGTTTATTATTTTGTTCGAAGAAAGTTTTCCAGTTTTGCCACGTGGCTTCCACAGCAAGCTCAAGGCTACTCCCTCTTGTCCCCTTTGAGGGCCACAAGGCTCATATTCTCTTGCCCCTAATAAAGTATTCTTGTACTCACAAGATAGGAGACCGCAGCTCTTTCCATTAAGAGAGCAGGAGGCTTGCCCTACAAAGGTAACTAGCAAACACGATCCGACCCAAGGAAACATTTCCCTTCTTACCTCCTTTTTCCTCTCTGGGAGCCCTCGGAAATCTTCACAAGAGTCCTTCCACTCCAACTACTACAGCTGCTTCCATATTTCCTGAAAACCCCAACCAGAGCCAACCAGCAGCCCACGCACTTCCGGTTCCGACCAGTCTCAATCACCCGGGTGCCCCAGCGCTTCAACTCCAGGTCCGGAGATAGCCGAATAGCTCCGATTACAGTTATGCCAGAGACGAGGGCTTCCGAAGAGGTTCGATTCAAAGCCTCGGCCAGACGAAAATAACCGAGTCTGAAAACAGGATGAAGAAGGGGGAAATGGCAGGGCAAATGAAAATCACGGATTGGTGCCGATGTGGGGACGGAAATACCCGAACAATTCCGGGGGAACCCGGGAGTTCTGACTGGTAATCGAGGGGTAGACTATAGCAGTGGGCGGGGTCACCTCAGTACGTTCGAAGGGCGTTGGCGGAAATTACCGAAGATGCCCGAAGCCGTCGGGACGGACCCGAGTACCTCACGCAAGATGGCGGAGCTGGAGGAGGTGACTCTGGACGGGAAGCCTCTTCAGGCGCTAAGGGTGACCGACCTGAAGGCTGCACTGGAGCAGCGAGGCCTAGCCAAGAGCGGGCAGAAGAGCACCCTGGTCAAGCGGCTCAAAGGGGTGAGGAGTCGGCGTTGCCGGGTTATCGGAGGGGAGCGGACCCGGTAGAGACGAGTCTCCACCGCGGCGCAGGCGCAGTGTCTAGGCTTGGCGCGAGCTCCTTCAGGCCGCCAGCGCGAGCCTGCGGTCCCGCGCGGACGGTGGTTGGTGAGGCTCGGGCCGGAGTAGAGATCACGCCGGTTCCCGCCTTAACGGCAGCAGCGCAAGCCCAAAATGGGAGGGTGCGCGCTACTCTCCCAGAGTGTCTTAAGCTCCTTCCTCCTTCCCCCCACCCCCTCCTTGTTTGTGTCTGTGGTTCCGGCGCATGCGCTGCAGAAGGAATTAAATCCCACTACAACCACTAGCGTTGCTGACCTGAGGGGGGCGAGTTGGGCTGGGTCCGAGTTAGGGTCGCGATTGGGCGGAGGGTGGATTGGGTTGGTGTCTATGTCTGCAAGAATACATTGAGGTAGAGTAAAAATGTCTACTAGATTAGATTAGGAGGTGAGACCAAGAGACTTTGTTTGACGGGACTTGGTGAGATAGGGGTTGCTGTAGAGAATGCAGAAGCAATTTGGATGGATAAAAATTTAATGACTATTGGTGCGAGTTGAAGCTCGTTGGTGTTCGTTAGGGATTTTTGAATCCGTTTAAGTAGATGGGATTGGGTTTGTGGACTGGTGTGTATAGGTTTGGTGAAAATGGAAGAAGTATGAGGATATCTTGGTACCACGATTAGAAAGCTAGGTTGGTTCAAGAGTTGGCAGACCGTTGCTTATACATAAACTGACGATTTTGTGGGTGTGTGGATTAGGTCAGACCACACTTTACAGAATCTATGGTTGTTTTATGTAGCACTTCAAAATTTTTAAAAATTGATAAATCTGTCATTTTGAGTTATACAGATTCACTTACGTAGTTCTGTTCCTGGATAACTGAACAAGTAATCTCATGAGCCCTACGTTGGTTTCATAGTTTCATATATTTGAAGTTCAAGCATTAGAAGTGATTTTATCTGTGTGACCAGGTGTGGAAGAGTTCTAGTTAAAAGTAGAAAACAAACAGATAGTAGTAGTAGTATTGGTTCTGCCACCACTTATTTTATGACATAGCCAGGTCACTGATTGTCTGTGTGCCTGTATTTTCATGTGTACCTTTAGGAGGGGTAACCATAGCTACCTTTAAGCTAGTGGAGAATGAATGAGAATAGTGAAGGACTTTTAGGGCTCAGGAAGAGAAGTACAATTTAAGTGTGTATTTAAGAGGCTGAATATAGTGAAGACGTGATGGGAGGGTTGGAAGTTTGGTTTCTTCTTTTTCACCAGGTTTTTGACTTTTGCCTTTCTCTATACCAGGCTCTAATGCTAGAAAATTTACAGAAACACTCAACACCCCATGCTGCATTCCAGCCAAATTCCCAGGTAAGAAGCAATTCTTGGGGTTGAGGGTTTAGCTCAGCGGCATAAGCACCTGCCTTGCAAGCAAGCGGTCGTGAGTTCGATCCCCGGTACCGATAAAAATGAAAAAAAACAAAAAAAAAGAAGTAATTCTTGTTAGATAGAATGACATGGTGTTGTATATTTGATGCTAAATTCTTCACTGATGTTTTCCTGCATTCTTTTGGTTGGAAATGTTCTTATGCTAGGACAACTGAATTCTAATCAGGTCCCATTTTACATAACAGTGTGAGGTAGAAAGCATATCAGAGGAGCTAGTAATTTTGGATGCTTCTTGAATTGGTACACACCCAAAGATATGACTGATCAAGTGTAGTATGAGAATCTGAAGTTATTTGCTGTTGATTTGGGGAAAGTAATTGACATCTTCGAATATAAGTATCTGAATATGAAGTAGGCTATGGTAGTACAGTGTAGGAAAATAGTTGCTGATTAAGAGCTCAATTGTTGACATAGATTTTCCAAGATTGACCCAGGGCCTCACATATGCAAGTGCTCTACCACTGAAGTATATATCAGCCTGAATTCAGTTCTTTTTAAATACAAGAATTGTGGTGCTCCTCCTGCCTCAGCCTCTCATGTAGATATGATTGCATGTACCTTCATACCAGGCTTATTTGCAGTTACTCTTTTTTTTTTTTTTAACTGCATTAAATTGGGCTTGTACATCCCCTGCCTTTAGTTTTAGTTTTTATTTTTATTTTATTTTTTTGTCTTTTTGAGACAGGGTCTCACTATGCAGTTCCAGCTGGCCTTGATCTCACTTTGTAGCAATGATTTTCCTGCCTCAACCTCCCAAATGCTGGGATTACAGGCATGCACCACCACACCCGGCACTAGTTTTTAATTTTAAGACAGTTTCAATGAGCCTTAATTTGCCATCCTTTTGCCTCAGCCTCTCAAGACTGCTGAGATTACAGGCATGTGCCATCGTTAAACATCTCTAAAAGCTCTGTTACATAGAATAAGACACTTACGCTTTGGAGGCCTTGGTTTCCTTATCTGTAATATAAGAAAGAATTGGATTAGATCTATAGTTTATAAATCCTCTGCGGTTTTTTAAAGCTGCTTTAAAGGGCTTCTTAGGGAAGATAAATTCTTCTGAAGTAGGTAAGGTTCATGTTTCTCTCAAATTACTAGATCTACTTTTATCTGCTTTATGTATTGAGCTTCCGTGTGTTTCTTTTGAAGGAATTATTCTGCAATTAAAAAGAAAAATAACAATTTTTAGACTGAGCTGGGCATAGTGGCACATGCCTGTAATCCCAGCACTCAGGAGGCTGAGGCAGGAGATTTGTTGTGAGTTGGAGGCCAGCCTAGGCCACATAGTGAATTCAGGCCTGTCTGAACTACATAGCAAGATACTCTCTCAAAAACAAAAATTAAAAAAAATTGTTTTTAGACTGCGCACACACACACACCCCATACTGTAGGTTGAACTGGGACTATTACACTGAGCTCATCCTCATCCCTTTTTCAAATATCTTTGAGACATGATCTCACCAAAGTGGTCATGCCAGGCCAGGCTCAAATTTGTGATCTTCCTGCTTCAGCCTCAGCGTTTCAGAGTGCTTGGATTATCGGCATGCCTAGGTTAGACTGCACTGTCTTTTGAGGATCCTTTTAGCTTTTGAAATCTCTTCATAATAATGTGATATAAGGAAAAACCCAAGTCGTTGTTCCTATAATGGTGTACAGGCGCATACTAACTGAAGTCCCAGGGTACTGTGGAAAACAAAGCTTTCCTATTCCCTTGTTATCAACTCAATAGGTTGTAAGTATTGTAACCTAGCCAACTTCAGAGGCTTCATTAAGTACTTTAACAAGCATAAAAAACTACATAAACTAATCAGCTCACAATTACTTTCCTTTTGCTAATTGCATTTTTTAACTTGTTAAACTACAATTTTATTTAAATGTATAAATTGTACAATTGTATACTATAGAAAACATTTCTAAGGAATATTAATCTCAAAATAGTTTGATCTACAGTTGCTAATTGCATTTTAATTTTTGGAGTTTTACTTTTTATTTTAGCAGGAAACATGCTATTCTTTAATACATTCAACCCAAACATTGTCAGTGTCCATTGAATAATAAGACTCATTTCTACTTTAGCTGAAACATTTACTGTACTTAGGAAATGTGATACCACAGGAAGTGTTTTTTGTTTTGTCGTTGTTTGAGACAGGGTCTCACTGTGTAGTGCAGGCTGGCTTTGAACTCCTGTTTGTAGCCTCAGCCTCCCAGGTACTGGGATTATACGCATTGCCAACATACCTGGGTACAGGAAGTATCTATTCAGGTTTCTAAATTTTTTCTGAAATTCTGGTTGGACTTACTAAGCAATAGGGAATAAGGCGTTGAGAGGAGAAAACTGAAGGAAGAGTGATGTAGGAATCTGTTACAGGAAACATGAGAAAAGGGTTTAAAAAAAAACCCTCTGAATTTAAAATTATGTTGCCAGCTGGAAGTGGTGGTGCACCCCTGAAGTCCCAGCACTTGGGAAGTAGAGGCAGGAGGATCACTGCAAATTCAAAACCAGCCTGGGCTACAAAGTGAGCTCAAGGCCAGCCTGAACTGCATAGCAAGTTCCTGTCTCAAAAAGACAAAAAAATACCAAGGATTTTTTTTTTTTTTTTTTTTTTTTTTTTTTTTTGAGTTAAGATCTCACTGGACCTCAACTCACAATGATCCTCCTGCCTCGGCCTCCTGAGTGCTGGGATTATAGGCATGTGTTACCATGCTCAACCTTACCAAGGATTTTTTTTTAAAGATTATTTCTAGATAATGTCTTGCATTAGCCAAAAGTTTTAAAGGCATAATTTTGACTGGCAATATAGCTCACTAGTTTAAAAAGCCCTATGTTCAGTCCTCGGCACCACAGAAAGAAAAGGCATTCTCAGAAATTTGAACTTTTTTAAAGTTATTTGTGTACCAGTAGCACTCTGGTTGGGAACTGAGTATTTAAAAATTATGTATAGTTCCTCCTTTTTGCCATTTTTTAATCACTCTCGTAGTGCTATTTACTTTTTAAATTTTTTGCAGTATTAAGGGCCTCGCACATACAGGTGAACATAACACCACTGAGCTACACCCTTGGCCTTTTTTTTTTTTTAATTTGGTTTTTGTTTTTAGAGATAAGGTCTCACTATGTAGTTTAGGCTGGCACTGGACTCACTGTATCACCCAGGCTAGCTTGGAACTCAGAGCAGTCCTCCTGCCTCAGCCTCTTGAGTGCTGGAGTTATAGGCATGCAGCACTATGCTAGCTATTTTATGTTATAAAAGGGCCTTGCTAAATTACCTAGGCTGACCTCAACATTGCTATCCCCTACTGTCAGCCTACTGAGTATCTGGGATTATAGGTCTGTATCACAATGCCAGCTCACAGGACTATTTATTCTTTTCCTTAATATAGGAGTAGTTTAGAAAAGGACCTTCCAACAGTTATTTTTCCTCAGTCCAGTTATATGGGGAGATTTTGCTCTATGGAATTTTACTCCTTGCATTTTTTTGGTTTGCTTTCCTACAACTTCATTTTCTATTTCTTCTACACAGATTGGTGAGGAAATGAGCAACAACAGTTTCATAAAGCAGTATCTGGAAAAGCAACAGGAGCTACTTCGGCAGCGTCTGGAACGGGAAGCTCGAGAAGCTGCAGAACTTGAAGGTAAACCCAGGTTGTCAATTCTAATAAGTTTTTCGTTCCTATCCTTGTCATTAAGGAGATAGGCCTGTCTAACTAGGCGATTTCAGAAGTAAGTTAAGCTGAGCCTGCACTCGTTTGCTTTGGTATTTTAGGGAGCCAAATGAATTACTCTTTCCCTTGTCAGAGAAAGAGAAGTTTAATTTGACTGTCTTGTTAGAAAAGGGTACCTGCCAACAGGAAGAGTTTATAAATTAAACTACGATTTAGATGAGGTAGAGTTTAATCCTAGGGTGTTTTTTCTTTATGTACGGTGGTGCTGCGTTTGGTATGTATCTCTGTGTCTATGACTGCCTGATATCCTTCACTCCTCTACATATTCCCATATGCTGAGCCCTTCACTCCCTCCCTGCCCGACCCAATCTGTACCTTGCAGAAGCTTCAGCTGAGTCGGAGGACGAGATGATCCATCCAGAGGGAGTGGCTTCCCTGCTGCCTCCTGACTTTCAGAGTAGCCTGGAGAGACCAGAGCTGGAGCTCAGCAGACATTCGCCCAGTACGTATCTCCCTCCCCACTGCGCTGTTGGTCAATCCTGCGTAGTTGGTGGGGGGAGGTAATTATGCCTCCTTTCATGATAAGTCTCCATGAAAGTCTCAGGGAAATTTTGTGACATTGATATTTGACATGTTTTTCAGGAAAATTCTGTCCTTTTTAAAGTCTGCTTTCACCTATATTTTAATAACGTCCCACTGTTTTATAAGGCAGTGTGATTTTCTGCTTGACCATTCTTCTGCAGCCTCTTCTATTTCTGACTTTAGTGACAATCACAATTTTATCACTTTGCCAATCGTATATACTATGTAATACAGTATATCCAGCCATCCCCCTAAATTGATCATCTGCTGCAGTTGATTAATTTAATCAACAGATTTTTTATTGAGTGTTTGTTGTATACCAGCCCGTGCAGTAGGCAATAGGAATACACTAGAAAGAAAGAGAAAGCTTCTCTAAGGAAACAGACAGTCTAGTGAAGAGACGGACAGTCAAAAAATATTTTAATTACATGCTTACAGTTGTGCCAAGTGCTGTCTGTGAAAGGTACTGTGAAATAGTATTACATGAACAAGTTAATATATAGGAGACTCTAACCTAGTATGTAGGTTACATTCATATATATTAACTTTTCTACATTTAGAAAGTATCACATACCTCTTTATATTGTCTCATGCAACAATCTGTAAATACAAGCTCTGTCTTTTGGAAGCTACTTGTCTGAAATTGTACATTCAGGAGAATGTATATATAAGGCATTTGAGCAGTAGGTAGATGTATTAAGTCATTGTAGAAATTAACAAGTATTTTTGAATCTGTAATATTAAACTTACTAGTTTTCACTGGTGCTCACAATTCCTTCATATTTGATACTTTTAGAATGTATGGAAGTTTTCTGCTCTTGTGATTACTATAGCATTCCTTGATGAAAATAGTTTTTTTGGAGATATTTGATGGTGGGAGAGAAATTTCCTGAAAGGCTAAGAAAAATGGAGGACCATTGAGATCATAGTTTGCTCAGTACTTCTTGATCATAGTCTTAGACCCTGAGGAAAAACTTCAGAAATTTTTTAATAAATTAACAATGCTGGGATATAGCTCAGCAGCACAAGACGTGTCTGCCAAGTGTGAGGTTATGAGTTCCATTCCTGTTACCAAAAAAAAAAAAAAACAGTTCTTGGTGCTTCAACCTTTAACAATGCCACCTCTTTGGAATTATTATTATTATTAAGTTCCTTCAGGGACCTCTTTTTCCCTCAGATATGAAACTGTAGAACTCTTGGTCTACTTTGTTCTTAGTATTCTTTTCCCTGATTATAAAGCTAAGAGGAAAAAAAAAGATATAAATGATTGTCAAGCCAGGGGTTTAGCTCAGTGGCATAAGCTCCTGCTTGGCAAGCATGAGGTCTTGAGTTCGATCCTCAGTACAAATAAATAAATGACTGACTGACTGATTGTCAAATTCATTTTTTTCTCAGAAGTCAGCCAAGAAAATACTGAATTCCTGCTATGGACATATTTCTGTGCTAGAATATATGGGGAGTGAGCAACTGTAAAGTGCGGAGAGAATAATTACACATAAAAATAATAATAGAAGTACATGGCAGGAATGGTACACATATACCATGGGAACTCAAGAGTGAAAGATCGCAGAATCAGAATGATTATAGCAAGTCTCTTGATGGAAGTATAGGATTTGAGGTGAGCCTCATTACTGGGTAAGATTTGCCAGGTGTAGTACAAGTCTATAATCCCAATACTTGGGAGGCTTAGGCAGGAAGATCACCATAAGTTTGAGGCCAGGCTAGACTACATTATGAATTTAACACCAGCCCGAACTACATAATAAGATCCTGTTTCAACCACCCTGCAGGTAAAAAGCCAAGTGTAGTGTGCATACCTATAATCCCAGCGTGCAGAGGCTGAGGCAGGATTATCACTATGAGTTGGATGCCAGGCTGGATGACATAGTGAGTTCAAGTTCAGTCTGAACTATATAGTGAGACCCTGTCACCAAAAAAAAAAAAAAAAGTTGTCAGAGAAGAGATTATATTTTAGGAGAGAACAGAGGCATAGAGATAGGAATGAATATGGTATTTGTTCATTGCAGTGGTAAGGATTGAATTCAGAGAGTATAACTTTGAATGCAGTATATCTTTGCACTGAGATACATCCCCAGCCACTCTTTATTTTTCTTTTTCTTTTTCTTTTTTTTTTTTTTTTTTTTTTTTGTCTTTTTCCTTTTTATCGGTACTGGGGATCGAACTCAACGACTGCCTGCTTGCAAGGCAGGCGCTTATGCCGCTGAGCTAAATCGCCAGCCCCTATTTTTCATTTTAGAGTCTTAAGTCACCAGACTTTCAAGTGTAGTGGTATACATCTGTAATGCCAGTACTTTGGGAGACTGAGGCAGAAAGATCACAAGTTTGAGCCCACTTAGTAAGACCCTGTCTCAAATTTTAAAAAGGGCTGAGAGCCGGGGATTTAGCTCAGTGGCATAAGTGTCTGCCTGGCAAGCGCAAGTCATGAGTTCAATCCCTAAGAGGGCAGGGCTTAGAATATAGTTCATTGCAAAGGCCCTATGTTCAATTTCTAGTACCATGCACAAATAAATAATAATAAAACAGTAGACGAATCTCACCAGAGAGAAGTTATTTTACTTTTGAAAATAAGGAAACACTCTTTTTTGAGACAAGGTCTATATAATCCAGACTAATTTCAGATTTGTGGTGTCCTCCTGCTTTACTTAGCTTCCCCAGTGCTGGGATTATATAGGCATGTGCCACTACACCAGGCTAGTTAGAGAAACAATTTAAAAGATAGTGTGAGATAATATTATAGTGATTTTAAATGCCAATCAATAAGTACGGGGCTGGGGATATAGCTCAGTTGCACAGCACCTGCCAAGCAACATAAGGTTGTAAGTTGAATTCCCAGTACCAAAAAAAAGTATGAACTTGTTTTAAATTCCTAGGTAGTAAGGAAACCATTGTAATTTCTTAATGAGATCCTGGCTTTTTTTCTTGTCTTATATTGTCACTGTAGTCTATTATGGCCCTGAACTCCTAGGTAGCTCACCCTGGCATTGACCTGAGGGTAGTCCTCCTTTAGTCTCCCAAGAACAGAACCATTGTTTGATAAGACCTCTCTAAAAAAGGAAAGACCTTATGGAGGTATGGTGGTAGAATTCCAGCACTCGGGCAGCCTGAGGCCAATGCATCTCAAGTTTGACCTCAGCTAGGGCAACTTAATGACTTCAGTACTATTTCAAAATAACAAAAAAGGCTAGGGATGTGACTGAACAGTGATTTTGGGGTCAGGCTCCTGTAGCCCAAAAAATAAGAGGAAAATGTCCTTTTTTCTTTTTTACATACATATTTGCATTACATAATTACATTCTTCCTGGGGCATTGGTACATGTATATAATGAATCTTTGTTCTTTTTACTTCACCTTCCCCACTCCCCCTTCCCCCTTTTTCAGTTTTAAATGTAATTTGAAATGAAAATCAAAAATAAACATTGAAATAAGGTTTTAAAAGCAAGGATTTAGAGTGAGGGTAACCCATCTCCTCAGTGCTTTAGGTCATCAGCAGGACTATGCCTGTAGCTACAACCAATAAGAGGAAAATATATAAAAGGAAAGAGAGATGGGACATACATTAGAAAACATGAATGTGGTAAGTTGTAGAGATCGGCTAACGATTGCTCTAAGTACTCTTCAGAGCATTTATGCCATAACCTTTCCTACTTTTGATCTTGGCTGCATTATGAATGCCATTAAAGATGTAGTTTAGGATTCGATCCCTTTGCTAAATGTAGTAAAAGTGTGAAGTTCTAGAAGTGTGTGGTTGGAGCAGCAAACACTTTTGGTGTTTACTCAGAAACTGTATTCCTAAAAATGTAGAATATTTGTGCCGTAGGTCAGTAGCAGCTCACTTCTTATCTTTAGATGTCTGGTGGTTTTGTCTAGGAGGGGGGTGTTTTTGTTTTGCAGTTCTGGGAATTGAACCTGAGGTCTCAAACCTGCAGGACAAACCTTCTATTATTGAACTAAATTCCCATCCTTGGTTCACTAGTCAATAACAAGATCATGCCAGGTATGGTGGTACATTCCTGTAATCTCTGCACTCAGGAGGCTGAGACAGAATTGCTATAAGTTTGAGGCCAGCCTGGATAACACAGCAAGGTCCTTCCTTGAAAAGCTGATGGTGACACACATCTGTAATCCCAGCACTCTGGAGGCTGTGGAAGGAGGACCAACACAAGTCCAAAGCCAGCCTGAACTACATAAGTCCTGTCTCAAAAAAAACAACTAGATTTAGCTCAGCAGCATAAGCGCCTACCTGGCAAGCGCAAGGTTGGGAGTTCAATCTCCAGTACCAAAAAAAAAATCTTACTCAAAAATAAGATTATGATTAAAGTTTCTAGTAACATATTTTACTAAGAATTTTTATTTTTGTGTTTTTTAGTATTTAATAAAGAGTATGGACTCTTGGGTCCTACTCTTAAGAAATATGAGTCCTAAGACTTTACATTTAAAAAAAAATCCCCAAGTAGTTTTGTTGAATAATTCAGTTTATGAATGACTGACTGAAGAAATAGTTTTTCTTTTTTTTTTTTATTAACGGTACCAGGGATCGAACTCACGACTGCCTGCTTGCAAGGCAGGTTCTTATGCCGCTGAGCTAAATCCCCAGCCCCTGAAGAAATAGTTTTTCAATATTAACTTTTATTAGGATCTTTGGCTTATATTACAGTAGTCTCTTATTTTATGTGATGTAGGCAGAATCCCACGTATGAAAATATGAAATCCTTCCTGACATTCCCTTTAACATGTGATCCTTGCGCGTGCGCGCGCGCACACACACACACACACACACACACACACACACAAGCTGCGCACGCGCGCGAAAATAACAAGTATACATCCCTACACCCAATTCCCTGTGACTTTTTTTTTGGTCTTTTTTGAGACAGGGTCTCTCTGCAGTTCAGGCAGAGCTTGAGCTCACTTTGTAGCCCAGGCTGGACTCTCGAAACAATCCTCCTGCCTCAGCCTCCTGAGTGCTGGGATTACAGGTGTGAGCCACCATGCCTGGCTTGATTTCCCCCCCCTCCCCCGGGGCAAGAGAGGACAGTTGAGACAGGGTCTCTCAGTCTAGCCCAAGCTGGCCTTGATCTCATACCAGTCTTCATGCCTCAGCCTCCCAAGTACTGGGATTACAAATGTATGCCATCACACCTGGTCTCTCTTGACTTCCTAATCTCCTATTCCACTTTGAAATTTTTCTAAAGTGTTTGGTGTTGATATCTACCCCTGTAGTCAGAAGTTGCCTGAGTTCCTTCACTGTATGTATAAAAATTCTTATTTCTTTAGTTTCTTAGTTCAAAAAGAGCTCAATTTGGGCCGAGGATATAGCTCAGTGGCATAAGAACCTGCCTTGCAAGCAGGCAGTCATGAGTTCGATCCCCGGTACCGATTAAAAAAAATTTTTTTTTAAGTAAAAAATAAAAACTTAAATATTTAGTATTTTATATAGAAGATGGTTTTGTGGATCAGGTAAACCTTTTGTGTTTAACGTTAAGCCTGGGGATCAGAGATACAGCTCTGAAGCACAGTGTCTGCTTGGGAAGCGCAGGGTCATAAGTTCGATCCCTGGTACCACCACAAAAAGTTAAGCCTGATGTGGCTGATTGAGTATCTGTAACATAAGCAGGGCATGGTGGCTCACACCTGTAATCCCAGCACTCAGGAGGCTGAAGGAAGTTCGTTGCGAGTTCAAGACCAGCCTGGGCTACAAAGTGAGGTCAAGGCAAGCCCAAACTGCATAGTGAGACCCTGTCTCAAAAATCCACCACAATCAAAAAAAAAAAAAAAAAAAAAAAAAAAAAGTATCTGTAACATAGTTATCCCTCTTTGTTTGTTTATTATAGAGTGTTTTGGTTTTTTATTTGTTTTTTGAAACAGTCTTGCCATATGGTTCAGGCCAGTCTTGAATTCTCACTGTATCCCAGGCTGGCCTCAAAATCACAATGATCCTCCTATCTCAGTTTCCCAAGTGCTAGGGTTGCAGGCTCTGACTGCTGTATTATGTTGTGGTGCTGAGAACTGAACCCAGAGTTTCATGAATACGAGGCAAGTATTCTACCATTGAGCTACATTGTCAGCGTTGTGCTGTTTTCTAACCTGTTTCTCTGGGGGTTTGGGGAGTTTTTGTTTGCTTGGTTTTTTGGTACTGGGGATTGAACTCACACCCTAGAGCTTCCCAGCCTTCTAAGTTGTTTCTCATCAGTCTACATTGCTACTCTACGTGTGTATGTAGGAGTGCATGTATATGTGTATGTGCATTTGCTGGGGATCGAACTGTGTGTCTGTGCGTGTGCGTGCTGCGTGCGTGCTTGTGTGTGTGTGTGTGTGTGTGTTTGCTGGGGACTGAACCCAGAACTTCATGCTTATACTAAGCATGTGCTGCATCACTGAGTTATGCTCCCAGGCACCTGCCATTTCAGAGCCAAGGATATAACTCAGCAGCACAGGCGCCTGCATGACAAGCATAAGGTCATGAGTTTGATCCCCTGTACCAAAAGAAAATCCAGTTCAACCCTCTTTTTTCTAAGTCAAGACTTAAATATTCAAATTACTAAAATGTTTTACCCAAAGTCGCCTTTCTTTGTGCAATGTTACTGAAACTTTTTTTTCATATTTACATGAAATTATCATTCAGGGCAACCTAGATTAGGGGTTTTCAAGCTTCTTTTCTGGTTTGGTTTTAGTGTTTTTGTTTTTTTGGTACCAGGGATCAAACTTATGACCTCATACTTGCCAGGCAGGCCCCGGTTTGTTTTTAACTTTATTTTGGTACCAGGAATCAAACTCAGGACCTTGTGCTTGGCAGGCAGGCACTGTGCCACTAAGCTATATCCCTGGTCCCCACTCTGCTTTTTTTGTTTGTTTTTTGGTCTTTTTGAGACAGGGTTTCACTATGCAGTTCAAGCTGGCCTTGCCCTCACTTTGTAGCCCAGGCTAGCCTCAAACTCACAGCGATCTTCCTACCTCAGCCTCCTAAGTGCTGCATGTGCCACCACACCTGGCTCCTTTTTTTAAAACTTTAAAATTGGGCATAAAGAGTAATGGGTTTCACACTGGAGATTTGTACACATATATAACATACTTGGGTCAGTTTCATCCCTCATCATCTTCCTTGCCCTGCTTTCTTCTATCACACTTTCCTTTAACATCACTTTTTTTCCCTAAAAAAAAAAAAAGTCTTGAGCTATAGTGTATAAGTAATAACTGAATAGGACTCAGTTCTGGAGCCCTGTCTGGTTAATTGGAAGTTGTTTTATTTTTTTCTTGACAGGGTTTTGCTTTGTAGTTCAGGCTGGCCTTGAACTTGCAACAATCCTCCTGCCTCAGTCTTCCAAGTACTGGGGTTACAAGCATGTGCCTCCACATCTGACCTCTTGGAGTAATTTCTAAGAACTTTAGGGCCCTGAAAACGAAGTAATTACTTCTCAAGTTTATTGTTATACAAACTGGTATGTTTAATCATAATATTTTGGTCAAAACTAGCAGTACAAATAGGCTTTTCAAAAAAAAAAAAAAATGGATACACACTGGGCCTTTTGGTACATGCCTGTCATCCCATCATTCAAGAGGCTGAGGCGAGAGGAAAAAGAAAATGGACATAGGGCAGAGTAGTGAAGTCTTGAGCTGAGAGAAAAACAAAGCACTTTTTTTTTGGGTGTGGTGTGGTGTGGTATATGCCTGTGCCTATAATCCCAGCACTCGGGAGGCTGAGGCAGGAGGATTGCTGTGGGTTTGAGGCTAGCCTGGGATATAAAGTGAATTCAAGACCAGCCTGAACTGCAGTGAAACCCTGTAGAAAAAAAAGCATATTTAAAGTATATACCCCTGCTTAAACAAAGCTTCTAGAATTTTTCTTTTCATTTATTTTATCTATAATACAAGAATTGGGCTTTGAGATGTTGAAAATATTCTAGACATGCATGGCAGCAGTTATAGTAAGACCCTGACCTCAGGGCTTTATATGGTCTTTCTTGAGTTTAGAAGCCAGAGGTTGATAATGTTATACACTGGAGCATATATGCTATGATTGGTTGCATCTCAGAAAGTTACAAATAAATACTTGTATCATAAGTCTGACTTGATATTCTCATTTCATAGGAAAAGGCTCCTCTGTTTCTGAAGAAAAAGGTGAATCTGATGATGAAAAGCCAAGGAAAGGAGAAAGACGATCATCCAGGGTCAGACAGGTAACCAGTAGAGTTCATAAAGCATTCAGCCACCACTTTAAGTAGTGTTCTGGCTATTTCCTCCCCTTTCTTTTTTAGCACCTCTATATTTCTGTATGTATTCATTTTCTTTTTGGGGGGAAGATACAAGGGGCTCCTGCATAGTAGATAAGCATTGTACATTGAGCTGCAGCCCCATCGCCTTTTTACTGTATTTTTAGACAGGGTCTCACTGAGTTGCCCAGACTGGACTTGAACCAGAATTTTCCTGACTTGGTCTCCCAGTTGTCTGGAATTATAGGCATACACCATAACATCTGGTTTTTCATTTTTTTCATGTTATTTTATTTGCTTGGGAGGGGTTGTTTTGTTTCGACCTGCTCTAGCCTTCATATTTCTAAGCAAGTATCTAGGTTTTAAAAAAATTTAAATGGGAACATTTAACAGACTCATCTATCTCATTTTTCTGTGGAGGGGGTGGTTCTGTGTAGTGAGAGGTCATCGAAATTAGATAAGGTATGGCATAATTATTTGATTAAAACTTAAAAGCTATATGAAACAATGTGAAGTGAGCTGAATACAAAAGTATACAGTAGTATGATTAGGACTGCAAGCTGGATATAGTGGCTCATGCTTGTAATCCCAGCTATTCTGGAGATTGACTCAGGAAGGTTTCAGGTTTAAGGCCAGGTTGGGCAACTCAGCAAGACTGTCTCAAAAGCAGATTAGAGATACAGCTCACTGGTAGAATATCTGCCTAATATGAGGCCCTGAGCTTTCGATCCTAGTACCACAAAAGAAAAATACCAAAATGATATAAATTCAAGCCCAGCCTAAACTATATAACGAGACCCTGTCTCAAAAAAAAACACAAAAACAAACATATATATATGAAATTGTATTGATGGTGATAGTTCTGCACCCCCACCCCTGCTTTCTACATACTAAGTTCTTGTTTATTTTAAAAGCTTGAAGCTGTGAAATGAACCAGTAACCAGTTGTGGTGATGTACTCCTGTAATCTCAGTGAGGGAGGCTGAGAGGAGGATCACAAGTTCCACCCCTTCTGGGCAGCTCTTAGTGTAAACCTTGTCTTTAAAAAATAAATAAAAAGGGATGAGAATGTGGCTGAATGGTAGAGCACCCTTGGTTTGATCCCTAGTACTGAAAGAAATTTTTTTAAAAAGTAGCTTCATTGTTGTGTTATTTGATTCACTCTTTTGATTCCTCTGAGGAACCTTGATTATTCATAATTGTTTATTGTCACACCTCTCTGTGTGTGACAGGAAATGGCATGTATTGCTGAATTTCTCCTTCCTAGGATTATCCTGTGATACACTTTTCTCTCTGTTGATTGTGAACAAATATATTTGGAGTCATTGTATATCTTTTGTTTCAGGCAAGGGCAGCTAAGCTATCTGAGTACAGTCAGGCTGCTGAAGAGGAAGAGGATCAAGAAACACCTTCCAGAAATCTGAGGGTTAGAGCAGATCGAAATCTGAAAACAGAAGAGGAAGAGGAAGAAGAAGAAGACGAAGAAGAAGAAGAGGAGGAAGAAGATGAAGGACAAAAATCTAGGGAGGCTCCAGTTCTAAAACAGTTTAAAGAACAGGGGGAAGAAATGTCCAGAACAAAACCAGAGGAGGTGATGGATGAGAGACCCAAAGCCATAGTATCCCAGGAACAGGAGAGGTTAGAAAGAGGAGGGCGAGTCACAAGATCCCAGGAAGAGGCCAGAAGAAGTCAACTGGCCAGACAGCAGCAAGAGAAAGATTTGCAAACAGTTTCTGCCCTTGAGGAGAAAGAAAGAGAAATAAAATTTTCACAAGGCTTGGTGAAAAAATCACAGTCCCCTTCCCCCCCTCGATTGACTGAAGATCTAGGAAAGGCTGCTCTTGTGCCACAGCCAGAGCAAGCTGCCAGCGAAGAGGAGACTCCCCCACCATTGCTTACCAAGGAAGCATCCTCTCCACCACCTCATACACAGCTACAGAGTGAGGAAGAAATAGAGCCCACAGAAGGTCCGGCTCCTCCTGTCCTCATGCAGTTATCGCCACCAAGTGCTAATGCTGAAACTAAGGAGCACAACGTCCAGTTGGTGGGAGGCCTGTCTCCTTTGTCCAGTCCTGTAGACACCAAAGCAGAGTCTCCAGCAGAGAAAGTGTCAGAGGAGAGTGTCCTGCCCCTGGTTGAGAAAAACACATCGGGGGAATATTCAACCCCAAAAGGTCATGCAACTGAGTCAGAAAAATCCACTCAGCCATTCCCTCTAAAAATGGAAGAACTAACACCAGCCAAAGGGATCACTGATGAATCTCTGAAACAGCAGTGTTTGGAACAGAAGGAAGGCCGAAGGGCCTCACATTCTCTTTTTCCAAGCCACAAGTTAAAACAGTCAGCTGACTCATTCTCCAGCCGGTCCTCCTCATCTTCATCCTCCAGTTCTAGATCCAGATCTCGCTCTCCTGACAGTTCGGGTTCTCAGTCTTATTCACCTCCAAGATCCAAGCAGAGAGCAGTGTCCCAGACACATGTCCACACTAACCCTCATGCTAGACCTCAGCCAGACTCTAGGTCCACATCAGAGTCCAGGTCCCGGTCCCGGTCCCGGTCCCGTTCTGCATCTAGCAGTAGCAGGAAAGTGAGTATGAAACAGTCTTGCATGAGTTGGTGTTCTGTCTATATAGGCCAGTGCTTTTTCAAACAGCAATAAGAAAGTACTCATTTAGTCCCAAATTCATTGATTATTTTCAGAATTTAATTTTCAGTTTATTGTTTCCAACTGAGGTCCTTTTTATTATGAGTCCCTTTGATTCCAAGACTGTTAAAGCCATTTTACTCATTTCTTCTGCAAACATAATCTTCTTGATGATATAGGTATGCCTTTGTGTGTGTATCCCAGTACCTAGCACCCAGTTAGAACTCAGTAAATCTGTTGAATAAGAGATTATGAACTCAAATGGTAATAAACACAAAGAAAGATCTAGGGCACGAATTGGGTCAACAGAGGTAGAACACTCCGTGATCCACTGAATGTATAACACCCATGTAAATGCATATGTGAAATATAAAATAATTAGCTTTACTCATGTGTTCATCTCATTTCTTTAGTCTCTGAGCCCTGGAGTCTCCAGGGACAGCAACACCAGCTACACTGAAACCAAAGATCCCATTTCTGGTCAAGAGGTTGCAGGTCCACCAGTGCCACAGCTGCAGGTCTTTGAGCCACAGCAAAGGACACCAACCTCCTCATCCTCTATCGAAGGGAGGCATCTGAACCAGCCTGAGCCAGCCGAAAAACATGTGACCCAGAGGGTGCAACCCGAGCGGGTAGGCTATGATGCCTCCTTAGAGACATGACTTTCCCTTTTGTCCTGAAGAGAGTCCTGGACAAGGCTCAAGAGAAATATTGGGATATGTACTAATCCTGCTTAACTCATTTCCAGCTCCCTTTTTACAAATATATGTAATAGGAGTCTCAGTCCACACCTCTTAGCATCATTTCATCCTCAGATCTCTGTTTTTTAATAGGAATTAAACTCAGGACCTTGTGCTTGCCAGATAGGAGCTTATGCCACTGAGCTATATCCCCAGGCTAGGTCTCTCTAATATGCCCGAAAGAAAACATTTTTTTGGTTGTCCCAAAAAAAGAATTCTAGCCAGGTGTGGCACTACATGCCTGTAACCCTAGAACTTGGGAGGCTGAGATGGGTGAAACAGCACAGGCTTGAGGCCAGGGGGGATGTAGTGAGTTTGAGGCTAGCCTGAACTACATAGTGAGGTCCTTTTTTAAAAAATAAAAAAAGCTAGGGCCTAGGGATCTAGGTTAATGATAGACCATGCACCTAGCTAGCATGCGTGATGCCTGATTAGAAATGGAATGGAAATTTTTGAGTTTTTTTGTGGGTTTTTTTTGGTGGTGGGGGGTGGTTTTTTGGTATTGGGACCTTGTGTTTACCAGGCAGGCACATGCCACTGAGCTATAACCCCAGCTCCATTTTTGTTTCTGTTTTTGTTTTGGCGGGGGGTACCAGGAATCAAACTTAAGAGTTTGCACTTCCAGGAAGGCACTAAATACTTACCTTTAAGCTATAGTCCAGTCCACATTGTAAAATGAAACGACGAAGATACAAGAGGGTGTTTGTGTGGAACGGGGACTGTGTATGTCCTGCTCTAACTTTTAGCAGCTCTAGGTTGAAAAAAAAGAACCAAGCAGATTTAAATCCTTTTTATCTTTGGTTTGCTGTGTTCTCACAGGGAAGCCCAAAGAAGTGTGAAGCTGAAGAGGCAGAGCCACCAGCTGCCACACAGCCTCAAACCTCAGACACTCAGACTTCCCATCTACCAGAATCAGAAAGGATTCATCACACTGTGTAAGTGATAAATCTTGACTGGTCTATAAATAAGCATTTATGAGTATAAGACAGGTCTTTGCTCCCTCAGATTTTTTGACCAAGCAGTCCTAGTTTTCTTTTTTTCTTCTAAAATACAAAGGCAGATTGTCTGAGCAAAGGTTAGACTTCATTTACCATAGTGGAAACTGCCACTGAATGCTTTTTATTTTTTCCCCTCCATTCTTGTTGATTGAGCCCAGAGCCTTCATACTAAGCTATATTATTTTTTGTGAAGATAGTCTCACTGAATTGCCTCAGCTGGACTCAAACTTAGAATCTTCCTGTATCAACCTCCCAGAGTGCTGGGATTACAAGTGTGTACCACCAACTCTAGCTAAGAACATTTATGGAAGTCTGACAAGTGATGGTGAGGGAGATGCGGAAAACATCTGTAATCACCACCCTCAAATAACACCTTTAAGCAGCAGGCAGCAGAGGCTTCTGCTTTCCCACTCAATCCATTGTAAGAAAATTGATGCAGGGGGCTGGGGATTTAGCTTAGCGGCATAAGCGCCTGCCTTGCAAGCAGGCAGTCGTGAGTTCGATCCCTGGTACCGATAAAAAAAACAAAAAAACAAAAAAAAAGAAAATTGATGCAGAGAATCCTAATTTAGTCTTTAACTCAAATTTACCAGCTGCATCTGAGCCCAGGAATAGTTTAATAAAGGATACTGAGAGTGTGTAATGAATAGTTCCAAAGGGTATGCTGTTACTTTGTACATTTTTCCTGATTACCATGTCATGTTATTAAACACACACTATGCTCTTTCATCACATAGTGCAGCGAAATACGAAGTTCCTATCAAGTCACAAACTTATTCTGGGCCCTTTAGACCTTTGATTGATCTTATAATAATGTGAGTTTTTAAGTCCTAAGGAAATACTCATATCAGGTAAAGTTTCTAATTTTGTAGGTAGGTACTGTGTGTCATTCATTATTCTGAACTTGGTATTAAAAGTAAGCCAATGAACCAAAACTCCTAGCTTCGAACTTTCTTAAAAAATGAAAATTTAAAGCATTAAGGAAATAAAATTACTTAGCTTTAGATATCTGGAATTCTGAACCCCTTTGGAGTTGGTTTTAAGTTGTTACATATTTGTTATAATGTCATTTTAACACTACTACTATCAGTATTCTTTTTCCCTTTGTTTAGTGGTCTGATAGTGTATACTCTTCTTCAGGCTGTCTTTTAACACTGAGTTTCGGAGGGTGCTGGGCAGTTGAGATGGTTGTGATAGTTTTTTTTACTCCTTAACATATCTTTTGCTTTGGGATAGACCCTTGCTAGTCTGTTGTGTTCTTGGTTCTGGTATCATCTCATGGCTGTTAATATTTTTGATTTTGGAAGCCAAAAGTTCACTCTCCTTTTGAAAAAAGTTTTTGTTTTCCCTTTTTCTTTGGAAAAAGAGTTTTTATTCTAGGACCATAAAATGAATTCAGCAGATTGTGGAAAGTATTCAGAATCCCCCAGCTATATCATCGATAAGAAAATGGAGTGACATTTTCCCATCTTTATAACTTAGGCATAAACTCTGCACTCCCCTCATTCTGTGAAACAGAGAGTACATATTGATAACCTGCTGCTTATTGGGCCTGAAGAACTGCTCCCAACGAACCTTGAGAAACAGTTATCTGAAAAGTTCTTTGCTATCCTTAAAATTCTGTGTTTAGGGGCTGGGGATTTAGCTCAGTGGCATAAGCACCTGCCTTGCAAGCAGGCGGTTGTGAGTTTGATCCCTGGTACCGATAAAAAAAGAAAAAGACAAAGAAAAGAAAAGAAATTCTGTGAGTTTAAGATCCTAGCAACAGAACAGCAATTTACATTGTTTTGAGTCACCTCTATTTCTGGGCTTTTCCATTTAAGTCCAGGGCAAGTGAAGCTTACAGTCATATATAGAGTTTTTCTCCTCAGGGTTTGGGGACTTTGATCTTCATTTTAGGACTGAGATTATTCCAGCCACTTGGATTACAACCAGGTACCATAATAACCAGGTTGCACCCTTGGCACATAAGGGGGTTGGTCTTTGTTGCCTAGCTACGCTTCATAGAATCTATAGTTTAGAAGTGGAACCTACACTCAGAAACATCTCATATACATCCCTCTTACCTGCTTTCCTTCCTTGCCAGATAATCTGTTCAACAGCCTAACAAAAAAAATATACAGCCAGATGTGGTGATGTATGCCTATAACCTCATCACTGGGTAGGCAGGAAGATTGCTGTGAGTTTGAGGCCAGAGGCCAACCTGGGTTACATAGTGAGTTTGGCCCAGCCTGGACTACATAGTGAAACCCTGTCTTAAAAAAAAAAAAAGTCACCATGTATGGTGGTACACTTCTGTAGTCCCAGCACTAAAGAGGCTGAGGCAAGAGAATCACCATGAGTTTTAGGCCATCTTAGGTTACATAGTGAATTTAAGGCCAGCCTGACGTATATAGCAGGACCCGCTCTCAAAAAAGACAGAATGTCCAAATTATGTAAAATGACCCTCAACACTTAGCCTGTAGTTTGTTCTAGCACTAGATTTAGTAAATGAATGTTTGAGAAATTTCCCTACATTTCTCCTGATTTGCAACATACCTTCTGGTTTTACCCCTCCAGAGTGCTAGGATTCACAGTATGACAGTCCCCTAGAACCCTGGCCAATTTTAAAAACGGGATCAACTGTATTAAAGGAAAAGATCATTTGTGGCTTAATCTTGGTTTTCCTGTGTGTCTCAACAAGAAGTCACATGACTAAAAAAATAGCAGTAAAAGGTTTTTTAAAAATTAGACTACCTCAAGGACCTCTCACCACTTGGAAGAGATTGGCTAAACTTTTTTGCTGTGTTTGGTTAAACCTGTTCTGATTCGGATTGTGCCTGAGGAATTCTAAATTTATGAGGTAAGGTATCTTTTTTGTTTGCTTGGAGCAGAAATTTGTGATTATTAGTTTTACTTCAACCAAGCCCACTTCCAAAATCTAGTCTTTACCCCACTGTGAATATCACAAAAATGTGCTCATCAGGGGCTGGGGATTTAGCTCAGCGGCATAAGCGCCTGCCTTGCAAGCAGGCAGTCGTGAGTTCGATCCCTGGTTCCGATAAAAACAAAAAAGACAAAAAAAAAAAAAGACCAAAATGTGCTCATCAGCAGAAAATATAATGATACTCTCTTTTTACATTAAAAAACAACAAGGAGTTAAAAGGCAGGTGTGGGCAGCTGTATCATTTGGCAATAGTTCATTCAAACCTGAATTTTTTGGCCAAATGTGGTAGCCCACACCTGTAATTGGGAGGCTGAGATCACTGCAGGTTCAAGGCCAGCCTGAGCCACATCTCAAGGTTTGTTTTTTGTCTCAAAAAAACAAAAAAAATACTGAGTTTTTTGAAATACAGTCTTGTGTGCATGAACCAAGTAGGCAGTAGTAACTTCATACTTTTGGTTCTCTGCTTATTTGTTCTTGTAGTCAGAAGGAAAAGTTTCCAGTATAACAGGACAACTGATACTCCCCAGGGGACCTACACTACCAGTATCCAAATGTTGCATTAGTTTTTAAAAAGCATAATTCAAGAAGAGCATGGTGGCTATAATCTTAGCTGTTTGGAAGGCTGAGGCAAGAGGATCACAAGTTCAAGGCCAGTTTAGGCAATTTAGTGAGACCCTATCTCAAAATTTTAAAAAATAAAGGGGCTCAATATGTAACTCACTACTCCCTGCTTCAGCTGCCAGTACCATACACATGCGCACATACACAGTATTATGACACACACAGTCATCATCAGTGGAGTTTGCTCACTGAAAAATTTATGTCTACGGGTGTAACATCTAAAATTATACTGTTGGTTATCTGGAAGTAGGGCTGGGGATTTAGCTCAGCGGCATAAGTACCTGCCTTGCAAGCAGCGGTCGTGAGTTCAATCCCCGGTACCAAAAAAAAAAGACATAGGTTATCTGGAACTAGTAAGCTCCTCAAAGTATCAGGTCCCGTATTTCTTACTAAAGTTTCACATCTTGTCCTCTGTGTCTCATGAATTTTCTATAATAACTAAAATTGAAACATACATTTTTATAGGAATTTCCTTTTCCCTTAATTTTTAAAAATCTCATTCATATGTGAACAGTAGTGCACTACTGTTTCATTCCAAGTTGTTCTATCTGTTTCTTGTGGGCTACCAGTGCTTTTTATGCTGTTCAATAGTGGAAAATTGGTCCCACCCTGTGCTGTTCCTAGTATGATTTCATATTTGTCAAAGATTTCAGAAACATTTGTGCAAGAATTTAAGGGAGGGGAAACAGGGAATTGCCTTTGTTTAAAAAAGGATGGGACAGTTTCGAGGATTCCTTATATCTTTTGAAAAAAGTCTTGGTATCTCACAGAATTAATTACAGGGCTGGGCGTGATGGCATACACCTGTAATCCCAGCACTTGAGAGGCTGAGGCAGGAGGATCATGGCAAGTTTGAGGCCAGCCTAGGTTACAAAGTGAGCTCAAGGATAGCCTGAAATGTATAGTGAGACCCTGTCTCAAAAAGACAAAAAAAATTAAAAAAGGTTTTAAAAATTTGGTCATAGGGAAATAAAAGGTATAATCCTCCTGTATCTTAAGAAAGCCAGTGGTAAAATTCACATCCTTAAGAATAGAAGACATAGAGCTAGGCGTGGTAGCTCACGCCTGTAATCCCAGCACTTGGGAGGTTGAGGCAGGAGGATCGTTGCAAGTTCAAGACTAGCCTGGGCTACAAAGTGAGCTCAAGGCCAGCCTGAACTGCATGGCAAGACCCTGTCTCAAAATGACAAAAAAAAAGAATAAAAGACATTTCTAATAAAAAAGTTCTTCTAAGTAAGCTCCTGGGAGGGGCATTAGAGTAGCCAAAAGTATTTTAGAACCTTGGATGGAACATTTATGTGAGGATGTTCAAAGGTAACATTTTATGAGATAATACTCTCTGTGGGAATTTTACCCCAAAAAACATCAAAAGTTTTGAGTCAGCAAGCATTTGTAAGTATCCACTTAGTACCCACCACAGTACCCTAATACAGAAATATATATGAAAAAAAAAAAATACAGTGTCTTTCTTAGTGCTGTACAGGGCAAGGAAGGTAATCCTTACCGTCGTAGTATTCTGCAGATAGAGAAAGGAGGGAGGTAAATTAGTCATTACACAAAGTAATAAGGGCATTGCCACAAATCTGTCAAGCCAGTCACTGAATCATTTGGCATCAGAGAAAGAGGTGACTTCAAATGGCACAGTGGTGCTCACTTTGGCAGCACATATACTAAAATTGGAGCAATACAGAGAAGATTAGCATGGGCCCTGCGCAAGGATGAGACACAAGTTTATGAAGCGTTCCATATTTTCAAATTTTAAAAATGGCACAGTAGACTACTAAAGTGTTTTATGCATATTTGTATCTTGTTTTGGGATGTCATTCAAGTCAGACAGTTACAAGCTAACACTTCTGCACTCTTCCATGAAGTAGCCATTGCTGTTAGTCACACATTACTGATTAAGAAGTAGATACTCTGAGAGGATCAAGAATTTGACTATTATCACGCAGTTTGTAATGGTTGGAACAGGACCAAGATGGATCCTAGCCTATTTCTTTATTTGTTTTTAGACAAGGTCTCATCTGTGAAGTTCAGGCTGACTTCAAACTCACTGTACAGCCCAGGCTGTCCTTAGAGTCACAAAGATCCTCCTCTGTCTCTCAACCTCCTGAGTGCTGGGATTACGGGCGTGTGTTGCCACACCCACCTTGTACTGTTAATATTCTAAGCAAAAGGGACTACTATGTGAAAGAGGAATTTTAAGTAATATATAAATATGACCACTTCAGCTTGCAATTGGCGTGGATTTTCAGGAGCAGGGAGAACATTTCATTCCTGGATAAAAGATCCGTTATTAAAAATACTCCTCGGGGCTAAGGGTATGGCTCAGTAGTTAAGCACTTGCTCAGCATCCATAAGTTTGGCCCCTGAAATACTGAGCTTTTGGTTAAATTGCCAGAAGCTTTTTTTTCTCATAAACTTGTCCTAGGGCTGGGGATATAGCTCAGTAGCACAGCATATACCTGGCAAGCATGAGGTCCTGAGTTCAATTCTTGGTACCCCACCACCACCACCACCAAATAAACTTGTCTTAGAGCTGCTATTAGGTACAAAAGGATACCTTCATCAACAAAGAAGCGTTTCAAGTATTTACTGAGTGCCCTGTTGAACTCTGAGAATGTTTCACAGGTAGTGTGGGGGAAATGCTCATGATTAATACTTTGTACTGAGTTGTAAGTAGGAGAGCTCTATGACTTGGAATTTCTGGTCTACTTCAGAGGCCTCACCTTGGAGCTTTTTCTCCAGTGGCCCTCAAACTTCAGCGATGCTAGGTATCCTTTCCTGTTTATCCTTATCCTTTCTGGCTCCCAGGGACTCTGGGGCAGAATGACCTTATTAAAAACTCAAAAGCAAAGTTGTCTGTCATCTCTTCAGAGAGATACTTTTCTTTCTGTTCATAATTTGGAGAATTCTCCCTGCATATGCGTGTCTTCCACCCTCCCTTAGTTTTACTTTGACTTTTTCTTTTTCCTTTTTTTTTTTGAGACAGGATCTCACTCTGCAGTTCAGGCTGCCGTGAACTCACTAAGGCCCAGGCTGGCCTCAAACTCACAGCAGTCCTGCCTCAGCTTCTCCAGTACTGGGATTACTGGTGGGAGTCACCACCAGTTGGAAACAGACTACTTTAAGTAGTTACTGGTGGCCATTGCCAGAAGTGTGCGCAGCCAGTTAGATAGTGAGAGATAGTGAAATAGTAAACCTTCTTATCCCACTTTCCCACTGTGAGCATTTGTCTGACTGATGGGGTTTCAGTGTCTATGCCTTGCTTCCTGGGTAGAGGGCAGAGGTACCTAAAAAAATTAATAGTTCTCCATTCTGTGGGAATGATGGAGTTAATTTATCTTTAATCATATTTCAACTTTGGCTTTATCTTTCTCAAATTATTTTTTACTCCCAGCTCTGCTGTTTCCCTTGTTACTCTCTAGAGTCTTCCATAATTTTGTATGTCTTTGCCACCTAGCCACCTTCCCCATCCCTAGGGAAGACTGGAGGGAGCACCCTTGGGGGCCAGTGGGGCTTGGCCTCAGTAACTGTTGTAATCTGAGAAAAGGAGAAAGGCCAGGCCTCTTGAGCCAGCGTCTGCCTGCTCCCTCCCTGTGCCTGCCAGAGGATGAGAGCCTTGCTCACTCAGCTCCCTCCCTCTTTTCTTTCCCCTCCCCTGCTGCAGCAGGGCCCTCCCCCATCCGCACACACGGGCTGCTGGGTAAGTGGCAAGATGGCTCCCCTGCATGTCTCCGGCTGATCGCTGCCGCTCCGCCAGTACAATAGAGCCAGCCACTACCAGCAGCCTGGCCCTGTTCCTCCTCCTTCTTCAGAGACCAATCCAGCCGAACTCGGGGTTTGCCGTGAGGACTTAACGCTTATCTCTTAAAAGCCAGATCTATTTTAGCCTCCCCGCACCACCACCACCACCACCTCCCCTTCCATTTACCATTTTTTGGATCCCCAGTTGCTGCATCTCGATTTTCTCTCTCTGGATCGGGTGGCTGGGGAGGAGGTGGTGGGATTTCGGGACAAGAAAGGTGGTTTTTTTGTTTTTGTTTTTGTTTTTAGGATTTTTTTGTTTGGTTTTTGTTATTTCTTCCATTCCAGAAAGGGATAAACAGCACTTCCAGGGGGAGAAAAAAAATCATGTTATCAGAAAGCAAAGAAGGGTGAGAGATTCACATTTCCCTGTACCCCTTTTTCCCAACTCTTACTTACCTCATCTTCTCTTCCCATGGCTTTCATTCTTGCTTTCGTTTGGTTTGTTTTCAATCATTCTGCTTTCCCCCTTTGTCCTTCCTGCCCGATTTCTAATTGGCCCTACTTCCTCTCTCTGTGTGGGAAATAGGCTTTTTAATTTTAAAGTAACTGTTTTTTCTGTATTTAAGAAGTTGAATTGCATGTTTCCGTGGGGGCTCGATAGCTGGGGGCACAGCCTTGACTTTCCCCTCCCCCCCAACCCGTTCATCCCTCACTGACTGCCCTAGGGAAGCTGTTCTGACCTCTGTGTCAGGTGGTCAGTTGGGAACGCTGAGTTTTCTGGTGGTGGTTAGTTAGCAACCTAGGGAAGCTTGGTTTCCCTTTTCTGGAGACTAGGCCTTTGATCATCTTAATTTTTTTTATTTATTTTCTTTTTTTGCCCAGTATAGGGTGCTAGAGGGAAGGAGATAAGAGATTAGAAGTTAAGAGATGAAAAGAGAAAAAGGTTTATCTGAAGTGAATCTCTTGAGGTTTTGGGCCTGAAGTAGGTGTTAACTTGTGTGATTGAGAGCTGGGGGTTCGTTATTTGTCTTGGGGGGTTGCCTGGTGTGAAGGAGGGTGTGTCTTGACTGGAAGGCCTGCTGTCTTTATCTCTTGGAAGTTGGAATGAGGGAGTGGGAGAAACTAGGTGAAAGTCTAAGAACAGTTCCTACACCTCTGAGCAGGTAAAAGTGGTCTGGTCTCTCTCTGAGCTTTCATACTCTGTTCAGCAGCTTTAGTTTTTCCTTTGGAGGACAGAAGGTCCTTGTTGAGGCTTGAACTTAATTCAGCCCTACTTCCTGCAATCCCTACCCCATCCATTTTCTCTGTGCCTGTATCTGCAGATCCTGTTAGCAGGCCTTTACTTATTAAGCAGTTGATTAAACAAGGTCAGGATCATTGCCACAACTATGGCCATTCTTGTCTTTTTAAGGAATCACACTTCCCTCCCTTAGTTTCTCATATATCCTAGTAAAAGGGCCTGTGTCATTGGGAGAGGGAGGCCACAGGTTGAGGGCACATCACAGTTGCTTTTGAGGGACTACTTTCAGAGGAGGGTGTTTCTCCTTCTACCTAAGAGTACTCTGGGGAGTTATTACTTAGGAACAGTTGGAATACTATTCCCACACCAAGGTTTTCCCATCTGGACAGTGGGTGATTGCTATCCATGCTTTTCCCCTAAGGAAAATACCTTTCCACTTTGCCGGGGGTAGCAAAGTTTCTAGTCTGATCTGAAAAGCAGCCATTCCAGTCCCACCCAAGTGATAAGGCATGGAAGATTTCATGACCCAAAACCTAATAATGTCTTACTCTCTCTTCCACTTGGTTCTTTCCTGCCCTTCCCTCTCAACCTCTCCAAATACTGTCAGTGAGGAGAAGGAGGAAGTGACTATGGACACAAGTGAAAACAGACCTGAAAATGAGGTTCCAGAGCCTCCTATGCCTGTTGCCGACCAAGTCAGCAATGATGACCGTCCAGAGGGCAATGCTGAAGATGAGGAGAAGAAAGAGGTAAATATCCAAGCCACCTGTTGGGGTGGGTGGGCAGAAGTGGACATGGGGGAAGGAGTAGACTATTTTGGTGATCCCTCTTACACAGCGGGATAACTGAAAGGGGATGAAACAGGGCCTTGGATCAGGAGAGAATCAAGGGAGAATTCGCTGGTTTAGCAAGGGAGACCCTTGTGATGGGGGCAAGGCTCTTGATTGTCCTTTCTCCATGTTGCAGCAGTCCAGATTCCTTGAAATTTGTTGCTAGCTGGAACGGCCACTAATGGCCCCTTTTCCAAGACCCAGGCTCTGTTATCTTCCCAAGCTTCTTCCCATAATAACTTGAGCTTTCCCTCCTTTTTAAAAACCTGGTGGAACTCAGCGCCACCTAGTGGACTGTGGTGGTTCTCACCAGACCAGCAATGCTGAGGAATTTGTTCTCCGCTGCCCCCCAGTGGTTTCATAACAAAGATGTAGTTCCTTAGAAGGCTGCACTTGGAGTGATCCAGAAGGCTCAATTTCCATATCTATGACACCTCTGACCTCCTTTTTTGGTAATTGTACTATATTGTTTTCTGCACCCAATTCAGGGGGCTCTCCCCCATCAGAGCCAGCGAAATCTTCTTAGCTCTTAATAGAAATAGCTGGGCTTGGGAGTAGGATAACAGGGTGGGAGGGACTGTTGTGTGTGTAGCTGTTCTCTGGTGTGTGTTGCGGGGGTGGGGACCGGTGAAAGTGATTTGATGTGCAGAATATTATTTATTACAAGGTCCTTCTTCCCCGTAAAACTTTGTCCAAGTACCTCATGTACGGTAATCCGCCCGTAAAATATAACCCTGCCCAACTGGCCAATCGCTGATGCCGCCTCTTCCTCTGGACCCACTCGCTGCTACTGAGCTGCCCAATCAGAGCCAAGTCTGCTATCCAGGTGTCTTGGCCAGAGGGGGGCATGTTTATGGGCTCCTGTGATGGGCCCCCTTTTGCCTCCCTGTCTTGCTTACATCAGGGGGCCAAGAAGAGCACTGTTGTGGAGAGACTTATTGAGAAACCAAAAAGCATTTGGAAAGGGGTGGACTTACATCATCTCCCTAACTTGGGACACCCCGAGAAGAGCTTATATCAGTGCTGGGGTGCCTGCCCATGTCCCCTGGCCCTATCAAGGACTGTGGGTTGCCTTGTTTGCTACAGACTGTTGGGATCCTCATCTGGGGCACCAAGACAACCTAAAGAGTCAATGTTTGTGATCACAGTGCCATGCTGGGAAACACTTGATTGGGGCCCTCGGCTTACGCTGTGGCGACTAGGAACCCTACACAGGAGTCTAGGGTCTGTGCCCCAGGGATTTAATGCTGATGACATCCCAGCCCAAGTATCACCTCTTGCTCATCAGATGGACTTTCCTTTGGTCCCTGTTGTCCATGGTGAAGGGCAGCACGTTGTTTGCTCCAGCTTCTCCTCCATCCCTGGAGGCAGGGGCTCATTCATCTACCTGACTGGAACCATTGCCTCACCTGGCGTCCCTGAGGAGATGCTACCCACAACTCAGAAGAAAAGCATTCTGACCTTGCTGCTGAATGTGTGCCAGCTTCTGGGGGTTCACCTGCTGTCCCCCAAGCTACCTTCATCAGAGGCTCCATGATCCCACTCGGAGAGGGGACCCCCTCCCCAGTTAACAGGCAGAAGAGAAAGGGACTCTGGAGTCATCACCTGGATTCCAAGTATTGGATGGCATCATTGCTGCAGCTTGCCACTGGTGGACATAGGGTTCTGCCTGCCTCTCATGACAGAAGGCGAGAACCCTTCCTGCTGCTCACAGGCCATCTCATCAGGGACTGCAAGATGGTGCCCCTACAAGGGCCAGGACTGATGTTTCTGTCCCCTTTCCCCCCTCTACTATCCCTTGCTGAGCCTGGTCACCACCAGTGAACTGTCTTGACATCATGGAAACTGGGCAGCGTCCCCCCACACGTTACCCTCCCGCCCCCCCTGCGCCCCTGGGAGGACTGGCAGTGCCGTGCTGACTACCACGCCGTGCGCCCACCTTTTTTGCCAACCCAACCCCCCACCAATTGCACAGCGCCTAGCAGGGAGGGCTCATTCTGATTGGATCGGCGGTTGACTAGATACAGTACACAGTGAGGTGCGATTGGCTGAACTGAAGATCCCAGGTGTGAGATGGTACCTGGAAAATTTGTCATATTCCTAGTTTATTTTCTTCTTTATTTTCTTCTTCTTCTTTTTTTAATCTTTTGTTTTAATATTTTTCTTTATTTTTCTGGTTTCTTTGTTGGGTTTATTTATTTGGTTCATGTTTTTCCTGTTTTGATTAACTTTTTTTTCTTTTTCCTTTTTTCTTTTTTTTTTTTTTTTTTCCTCACTAACTTACCCATCAAGAATGGCCCAGTTAGGGGTCAGGCTGGCCCTTAACAGAGACCAAGGAGACTTGGTTAGACAACAGAAATGGGGCTGGGGGTGGATGGGGGAAAGGGATTTCATCAAGAGGGTTCTATCCTACCCTTTAGAAGGGTGGTCTTAGTTTTTCCAGAAATAAGCACCTGAATCTCAAAGTGTTCCATTCCCCTTTTTTCTCTCTCTCTGTCCATAGTCTTTGTCCCTTTGAATGTGTAAGAGAGAAAGTGGTCCTCAGCAGAGTCCCTAAGGCTGGAGCCCAGGTGTAGAGGAACAGTAGGCCTCTGCTAGAGCTACAGTGTTTAGAAAGTCTGAGAACCTTACTGGGGTCAGCCAATTCTTCATAAAAACTTAACTTTACCAGTAAATGTCTTGTGTGGCTTCAGCTCAGGAGTTTCCTCTTCAGTGAGTCTGATATGGCCCTTTCCACAGTGTGGTAGGTTTGCCCTGACAATCTGCTGTCCATGTGTCCCACATTGACGTTGTCAGGCTGGACAGGCACTAAAAAGGAGGGCTGTCTTATTGAAGCTGCCATCTCAAAGTGGTATTTTCCCTGGGTTAGCAAGGATGGACCTGGGATACTCTTTTCGGGCTTGGTATCTTCGGTGCATAGACAGTGGAAAGAGTGATCACCACCATCTTTTAAGGCCTGGGCACGGCTGAATTCCTTTTTTCAGCTTATTTCTGGTCAAGCTAATGGTCAGATGTGGTATGCAGTACAGTAGTTGACAGTCCCTGCTAAGATCTTTGGTTTTATTTTTTTCTCTAACTTGCATCAATTCTGCTTCATTTTTGCTGTTTGCTGCTTCTGTTTTGGTCTCTATGTCTCTCCTCCTCTATCTTCCTCTGTCTCTGTGTGTCTTTGGAGCCTATGCTAAGACTGCCCCATTTAACCTCCTTCCCCCCTCTCTGTGGGGTGTCTCTCTTTCTCTTTTTTCCCTTACCTTCTGTATACAGAGCTCGCTGCCCAAATCATTCAAGAGGAAGATCTCCGTTGTCTGTAAGTTCAGCCCTGAATCCCCAGTAGGTGTTAAGAATGCCATAAAAATAATATTCATAGGGCAGTCAGGCCCATTCTGTCAGTGTCATTGTTGGTTTCCTCTGCCCAGCAGATCTGCATCCTCCTACCACATACAGGGTTCCATTTTAAAATTCATAACAGTCCATATCAGTGGTTCTTTCTAGTCACATTTCAATGAGATCCACTGCCTTAAAAGCAAATCAGGTCTTAGGTCTTTTTTTGAGATGAGGTCCATCTAAATTGCCTGGGCTGTTCTCCCACCTCAGCTTTGCACTTTGGGAGTAGCTAGCATTCCTGGCGTTTGCCACTACACCTGACATTTAGAAACATTTTATCCTTTAAAGTATAAATGAATTAGATTGCTACATAATGCCAATCACTTTATTCTGAGAGCTGAAGAGTTAAAAGTACCCTCACCTCAAAAAGTAGCGTTTTTCCAATGAGGAACTCCAGATTACAAAAGCAAAATAGATGTTTACTATAATACCAGTCTACTATGAATTACAGGGTAAGATCATACCATGATCTTACCTCCTTATACATTTCCATGTCCTCGGTCTGTCTTTCCCACCAATTTGGATATTCCGCTTATTGCTTGAACTGCTTGCCAAAGTAGTATTCCTGCTTTTAGAGACAAATAGTTTCTGTCAGAAAGGGCCTCTAGCCCCTCTGTTGTTCATTCTGAAGTCATGAGTTCCTAGCACCCCAGATATGATTTCCTTAAGTTAACCTTTTACTGAAACTCCAACAATCTGAGTTAAAGTTACTGTATGAGCCAGCAGAGTACCTGAGACCCATCTAACTGTTGGGTCTTATCTTTTGGGGGCAGCAGCTACCAAGGGGGTGCCAGCCGGAAACAGTGACACAGAGGGGGGCCAGCCTGGTCGGAAGCGACGTTGGGGAGCCAGCACAGCCACCACACAGAAGAAACCCTCCATCAGTATCACCACTGAATCACTCAAGGTGAGGCAGGAGGAGCCAGGGAAGGGAGGATAAGAGATGTTGAGGTGGGACTAGACATGGGCCCAGTGTAACGGGGTGGGGGGTATCTGTGTCCCAGAGCCTCATCCCCGACATCAAACCCCTGGCGGGGCAGGAGGCTGTTGTGGATCTGCATGCTGATGACTCCCGCATCTCTGAGGATGAGACAGAGCGTAATGGCGACGACGGGACCCATGACAAAGGGCTGAAAATATGCCGGACAGTCACTCAGGTGAGGTTCATTGGCACATCCCAAAATCAGGCTGCCAAATCAATCCGGCTGCTTATTGTAAATAAAACCTTTTATTGGAACACAGCCACCCTACCTCATTACTCTTCTCTGGCAACTATTATGTTACAGTAGCAGAATTGAGAAGTTGCAGCAGACTGTGTGGCTTACAAAGCCCTGAGGTTTTTTTGTTTTGTTTTGTTTTGTTTTTTTTGTCTTTTTCGTTTTTATGGGTACCAGGGATCGAACTCATGACTGCCTGCTTGCAAGACAGGTGTTTATGCCGCTGAGCTAAATCCCCAGCCCCTGAGTATTTTATTTTTAAAAATTTGCCAAGCTAGGCTTGGTGGCACACATGGCTGTAACCCCAGCACTGGGAGCCTGAGGCAGGAGGATCACTGTGAATTTGAGGCCAGCCTGGACCACACAGTTCAAGGCCAACTGACCTGCATAGAGACCCTGTCTTTAAAAAAAAAAAATGTCAAGTCCTGCCTTAGTTTTCCTTAAGACAAAGTTGAGGTACTAGTAATGTTAGGATCTAGTAGAGGTGAACTAAATGATAAAATCTTCCTCCAGTGGAAAGCATCTGCTAGGTTGACCCAACTTTACCCCTGTCTCTGAAGGAGAAACTAAAGACTGTACCAGTGTGATGTTTCACAGACTCTTTACCTGCTGCCTTTATAGGTGGTACCTGCAGAGGGCCAGGAGAATGGGCAGAGGGAGGAAGAGGAAGAAGAAAAGGAGCCTGAAGCGGAATCTGCTGTACCTCCCCAGGTGTCAGTGGAAGTGGCATTGCCCCCACCTGTGGAACACGAAGTAAAGAAAGGTGAGTGAAGTGTAACACGGCCTCCTGGTTTTCCAGCACACTTCATTTAGACCTTTAGACAATTATGTTTCGTACTTTGTTTTTCCATATTTGTCTGTATCTGTCATCTCCTAGATACTAAGCTACTTAAGAGCTGAGTTTGAATCTTTTTAATCTTTGAATCTATGGAAGAGATTAGCCTAGCATTGTATTTTGCACATTATCAGTGGTGTGCAGCACTTCTAGAGGGAAGACTGGCTGCTTGGTAGAGAATAAAGAGAGAACCATGAGAGTCAAGTTGGCGATAAGCGGTAAGCCAGAATTGCTTCCTAATGAAAGTTGCTCTTATACTCTGTTTGTTTTGATAGTGACATTAGGAGATACCTTAACTCGTCGGTCCATTAGCCAGCAGAAGTCTGGAGTTTCCATTACAATTGATGACCCAGTCCGAATTTCCCAGGTTCCCTCCCCACCCCGGGGCAAGATCAGTAACATTGTTCATATCTCCAATTTGGTAAGTCAGTCTTCCAAATTCCAGTCTTACTTAAAGTCTTAAGACTGGATGTGGCCGGGCAGGGTGGCACATGCCTACCATCCCAACACTTGGGAGGTTGAGGCAAGAAAATCGCTGTGAGTTTGAAGCCAGCCTAGACTACATAATCGAGTTCAAGGCCAGCCTGGACTACATAGTGAGGCCCTGTCATGAACAAAAAAGACTGGATATGTTGGTATTCTTGCTGACTGTAAGATCCTAAAAATCCATTTTTGTTGGCAGGTTCGTCCCTTCACTTTAGGCCAACTCAAGGAGTTGCTGGGGCGTACAGGAACGTTGGTGGAAGAGGCCTTCTGGATTGATAAGATCAAATCTCACTGCTTTGTAACGGTGAGAGAAAGAAGCTAATTCTGTAGCTTGGGGCGTGTACTTCTCTTCTTGGACCACTGTGGGCAAGTTTAAGGGCATTGGGCAAAAGGCAAGGACTGAAGATATACCATGACTCTCCGCCTTCTCCCTCCACCAGTACTCAACAGTAGAGGAAGCTGTTGCCACCCGCACAGCTCTGCACGGGGTCAAATGGCCCCAATCCAACCCCAAATTCCTTTGTGCCGACTATGCTGAGCAAGATGAGGTAAGAAACCAAAAGAAAAGAAGGGAGGGAGGAGGGTAGGGGAGGCCATCTCCTGCTAGAGGCCCACTGAGATTCTGGCCAAAGGTGAGTCTTATAATCTATCCTTTCATCTTCTCTTTAACTGTGGGGCCTCAAAATACCTCATACCTTAAATGCCTGGACTCCTTCAGTGAGATTGATGTCATCTTCTCACTGCCCATGTCCCTCCCCTGCCCACAGCTGGACTATCATCGTGGCCTCTTGGTGGACCGCCCCTCTGAAACTAAGACAGAGGAGCAGGGAATACCACGGCCCCTGCACCCCCCGCCCCCGCCCCCAGTCCAGCCACCACAGCACACTCGGACAGAGCAGCGGGAACAGGAGAGGACAGTGCGTGAGCAGTGGGCAGAACGGGAACGGGAGATGGAGCGGCGGGAGCGAACTCGAGCTGAGCGAGAATGGGATCGAGACAAAGTTCGAGAAGGGCCACGATCCCGCTCACGGTCCCGTGACCGCCGCCGCAAAGAACGTGCAAAGTCTAAAGAAAAGAAGAGTGAGAAGAAAGGTACTTAGGGGCTGGGGATTTAGCTCAGCGGCATAAGCGCCTGCCTTGCAAGCAGGCAGTCGTGAGTTCGATCCCCCGTACTGATAAAAAGGAAAAAGACAAAAAAAAAAAAAGAAAAGAAAGGTACTTAGCCATGGAATGTATGTGTCCCCTGAGTCAGGGGTCAGGACCCAAATGAAATGGGTCAGAGGGTCATGTGCATCAAGTTTGATTCACTTCCTTCCACCTCAGAGAAAGCCCAAGAGGAGCCACCTGCCAAGCTGCTGGACGACCTCTTCCGGAAGACCAAGGCCGCTCCCTGCATCTACTGGCTCCCGCTGACAGACAGCCAAGTGAGTACTCAAAGGTCAGCCTAAGGCTGCGGGCAGTGGATAGTGAGGGTGAGGAGGTCCAGATACTGGCTTAGCTTCTCAAGAGGAAAGACCAGGCATCACAGAGAGGATATTTTAAGAAAGAGTTGAAGAGGTACCATGGACAAACCAAACCCAAGAGGGTGAAGTGGTCAAAGGCAGGAACTGAGGTTTGTGGGTATCTGGGAAGGGAAGTTAGCTGTGTTAACCAGGTTTCTTCTTAATTAGCTGAGAAAAACATGTTTTATAAACTCATGTTTCTTTGTTTTAATTTGTAGAGTTTAATTTGTGGTGGTTTTGGGTTTTGTTAGTTTTTTTTTCCCCCCCTATAGTATTGAAGATTGAATCTGACACCTTCACAGTGAGCTACATATGTCCCTAGCACCTCCCTCCGCCTTTTTTTGGCCGGCCGTCTTTCCCTAGTGCTAGATTGCCCAAACCAAAATTTTATGCTTTTTAAATTTTTGTTTCTTAGCAGTGAGCTTTTTGAGAGTTTGAGGCTTATGCTACCCTACTAATTAATGAGAAGAAACCTGTTTACGTCTAGGGAAACATGAAGCTGGCCAGGGGTGGAGCCAGTCCCTGCCCCTTTCCTGCTTAACAGCAAAGCCAGCAGCAACCCTGAGCTTGGGGTGCATGGTCCAAACAAGACAGAGCAGGCTTGCAAACGTCTTTCTACCCTTCCTCCTTTGGCTACAGATTGTCCAGAAGGAGGCTGAGCGGGCTGAGCGGGCCAAGGAGCGGGAGAAGCGGCGAAAGGAACAGGAAGAAGAAGAGCAGAAGGAACGTGAGAAGGAAGCTGAGCGGGAACGGAACCGACAGCTGGAGCGAGAGAAACGACGAGAGCACAGCCGAGAGAGGGACAGGGAGAGAGAGAGGGACAGGGAACGAGACAGGGGGGACCGAGATCGTGACAGGGAAAGGGACCGGGACCGGGGTAGGGAGAGGGATCGCAGAGACACCAAGCGCCACAGCAGAAGCCGAAGTCGGAGCACACCTGTGCGGGACCGGGGTGGCCGCCGCTAGCTAGGGCACTGCTAGGAGAGCTGCAGGTACCAGCACCGCCCCGGGGTTAAAGGCCGCAGAGGGGCAGGTAGTCACCACCATCCTGACCAGGGGTCTTTCACACCATTCGCCCAGTGCCGAAGTATGGCTGCCTTCTGTCCCACACCCCACATGGAGCAGAAACCGCCCTTGCCCACATGTGCTTCTCCACCTGCGCCCTGGGGCTTAGCCTCCCCTCCCTCTCACTTCTCATTACATCTGTGGGAGGAAAGAGCTGGGTTACAGAGGGAGGTGGCAGGCCAGAGCCAGGGAACGGCCAAGAGCCCTAAACCTGGCATTCTGTTCTTCACCTCCCATGGGAACCGCTGGGGCCAGGACTGGGTCACCTATGAGCTGAATCAGCGTCTTCTCCTGAGTCCCAGGGCCCCTGCAGTTCCCACCCAGTCCTGCAGCCTTTGTCTCCTGCCCACTGGTTCCACTTTATATCCACCTTTTCCTTTTGTTCAATTTTTATTTTTATTTTTTTTATTATTAAATGATGTGGTCTATGGAAAAAATAAAAAAAATAAAATCTGACTTAGTTTTACCTACCACGTGGAGTGGTTTTCCTTGGGAAGGGTGACTTTCCTCGGTGACAAGCTGCAGGGAGAGAAAGTCTGTGTGGGAAGTGGAAATCTGCGGGTGCCTGGCTGACTGCCTTTCCCAACGCCAAGGTTTCCCAGGTCTTGCAACATCACTAGCTTGGCTCTAACCCACCTCACATAGGAACCCCAGGGAAACAGGCCGTCTTATCCCCAGCGGGTAACCGGGATTGGCTTCTGCTTCCAGGTGAGGTGCTCCATCAGGCCGCTGGTCACCTGCCCTCCGCCTTCCAGGTGCTCCCCACAAGTGCCACCAGAGGGCGGTAGGCCATCGCTTCGTGGGTTCGGGTAAACCAGCTTCCCAAAAAAGGTTTTTTTTACTGCTGCCTCCACCCTCCCGCTAACGTCTTGCCTTGGTCCCTGACATTCCCTCGGCCCGGCCCGCCGCTGTTCTGCACCATCTGCCATCCCAAGTGCACCCCAGCCGTCCCGCCCCGTTCCCTGCACAGGCTTCCGGGATGGTCGCTGCAGCCAGGCCGATCCCCAAAGCCGGTCGGGGAGCAGGGGGTCAGGTCTCCGCAGTGGGCTTCTGCGTCCCCGCCGGCCTGCACGCTCCCCTTTGCCCCGCCGCGGGCGAAGGGCGAAGTGCAGGCTGCTTCGCGCTCATGGGCGCATCCTCCCCGCCAGCTCTAGGAGACGCCTGGCGCGGGGCCTGGACGTTCCACTGCGCGGTGCCTTACTGTGCGCCGCAGGCCGCGGGCCGGGAGCGGCGCCGCATCTGTATGCGCCGGGCGGCCCGGGAGCGCCGAGAGGTTGGGCGCCAGGCGCCGCCCCGCCCCCGCGCGAGCTTGGCGGGCCGGGCCGGGGAGGGTCGGAGGCTGGGCTCTCCTCTGCCGCGCGGCGCGGAGCCGCCTCGCTCCTCCGCAGGCGGAGCCTCCTTCCCCCGCCCCCTCCGTCTCGCTCCCTTGTTCTCGCCGGGGCCGCTCAGACCTGCAGCGGAGCCGCGGCGCCCGCTCGGATCCGCTCCGGGTGCGCCCTGGGAGCCGGTGGCGGGGGCGCTCCCCGCCGTCGTGGGCGCCTCAGCAGAGCCAGGTAAGGCGCCTGCCCAGAGCCTGGGGCCGGAACCTCAGAAGGGCAGCGGGGGCCTCAGCCTGCGGGTGTCTTCCGAGCCGTGCGCTCCGAGGCTGCGAGCCCGCCGCCGGCCCCCTTCTCCCGCGCTCTGCCGCCGTCCCTCTTCCCTCGCACCTCTCCGCCTCTTTCCTCCGCTCTCAGTTTCTCTTCCCCGTCCTTCTCTCTGGCGTTTGCCTTCTCTGCCCCTTCTCTCCCCCTCCGGTCCTGTCTCTCCCATCTCTTCTTCCCCCTCTGCCTTTCCTTCCTCTCCCTTTCTTCCCGTAACCTCTCTCCCCTCTCTAGCTCTCCTTTCCTTCCGCCGTTGCCTCTTTCCCTTCCTCTTCCCTGCCCGCTAACCTGGTTCCCACTCCTCTGTCCCCTTCCTTCTCTCGTCCCGCCTCCCTCTCCGGTCCCCAGCTTCCCTCAAGCTTCTCCTCCCTGGGGAGCAAACGGACTGTCAGGTGTGTGTCTGCTCCGGGGGAGGAGGGGCGAAGCGACAGCTACCTGCAGGGTCCCCTCCTGAGGGGAGGGAGGGGGCCAGTGGGAAAGGTCCCCTCTCCAGCTCCCCTCCCGCAGCCCCTCCCTGTCTCCGCTTCTCCCGGCTGCTCCCTCTCCCAAAATGAAGTTCGGAGGCCTGATGGACCCCCGCTACACACACATGCCGAAAGCCATCTGTGTCCCTACCGGTCCCCAAGCCTGGCACCCCTGACTGCTCTCTGCCTTTCAGACACCAGGATGCTTCCCTGAGCTCGCTCTCCTCCTGCCGCCTGCCGCCGGGGTCTCTGCTTGCCTTGCCCTCTGTCTCTCACCTGGGCTTCTCTGAGTCTCAGTCCAGCCCTCTGCCACACTGTGTAGCTTCTGGGTGTGCCCCCAATTCCTCGGACTCCCTCTCCTCGCTCTGCCCACGACCCTGTCCCCTCTCTTTCCAGCTCCGGCCCCTACTCTGCCTCATGAGATCAATCCACCTTCAAGGGCTGCAGTTGACAGTGTGGGCAGGGGCAGGATCTGGAGAGGTGAGGGGCAGCCCCCAGGGGAAAGAATTTTCCTAGGCTCCTCATAACTTATCTTCAACTATATTCCTTGTCCTCTCAACCTAACCCTAGACTCCTGAACACCACACCTCTGTGGACCCCAGCCCCTTTATTTTAAATCCTTTCTCTGGTAAACCCCACTCTATACACCCCTGGCTATACGCCAAGGTGGGAGGACAGGTACAGGGGTTAGGAGTCCAAGCTCCCCCTTACTCCCTTTTTTAGCTTCCACCCTACCTTCTCAGAGCTGACAGGTCAGAGATTTATCCATTTGGAGGGCTGGAGGTGAATACAGAGAGAGCCTGCCTGGAGGAAAGGATCAAACTGTCTGCTCTTCGCCTGATCTGGTTCTGGGCAGTGGGGTATGTAGCTCCTTGAAGATCTGGTCTTCAGCAGCTGATTTGGGGGAGGATTGGGGTGGAGGGTTTCCTTGACCCTAAGCAGCTACTTGTCCTACAGGTGTGGATCCATGGGGTAGCCCCAACACATCCGCCCCTCTGCCCCAGCCAGCTCATGGGCCACCTAGCCCTGCCCAGCCTCAGCACCCCAGGCCAGTGAACAGAACCCTGGCTGGAGTCCCAATATGTGGGGCCTGGTAAGGCTCCTGCTGGCTTGGCTGGGTGGCTGGGGCTGCATGGGGCATCTGGCAGCCCCAGTCCGGGCCTGGGCAGGGTCCCGGGGACGCCCAGGGCCTGCACTGCTGCGGACCAGAAGGAGCTGGGTCTGGAACCAGTTCTTTGTCATTGAGGAATATGCTGGTCCAGAGCCTGTCCTTATTGGCAAGGTAAGGATCAACCTGTCCTGTGTGTACTCCAACTGTTCTGTCAGTCCCTAAGCCCTGCTGTGCAGCTTCTCTACTTCTCTGGTGACCTCAGTCCTTTAGGGCTGTCAACACCACCCAACCCTAGACTCTCCAGCTCTCTGTCCCTGGGCCTGGAGCTCTCTGCCCTTCTTCCCTGACTCCTACAGCTGCACTCAGATGTTGACCGGGGTGAGGGCCGCACCAAGTACCTGCTGACCGGGGAGGGAGCAGGTACTGTATTTGTGATTGACGAAGCTACAGGCAATATCCATGTCACCAAGAGCTTGGACCGGGAAGAAAAGGCACAGTATGTGCTGCTTGCCCAAGCCGTGGACCGGGCCTCTAACAGGCCCCTGGAGCCTCCCTCAGAGTTCATCATCAAAGTGCAAGACATCAATGACAACCCCCCTGTGTTTCCCCTGGGGCCCTACCATGCCACAGTGCCTGAGATGTCCAACGTGGGTAAGCACCCCAACTCTAAATGCCCCAGTTCCTGCCTCCTGGAATTGCTTCACCTCTCCCCTCTGCACCATTTGCCCCAGAACCCACTCCTTTAATTCAACCTCCCTCATCTGGGTCTCCCTCATCTGCTGTTCTTCCCCCTTTTCCCCCCTGCTGCTGCTGAGTGAGGTGCTGGGATCCCCCACAGGGACATCAGTGATCCAAGTGACTGCTCATGATGCTGATGACCCCAGCTATGGGAACAGTGCCAAGCTGGTGTACACTGTGCTGGATGGACTGCCTTTCTTCTCTGTGGACCCCCAGACTGGTGAGGATGGAGCTCAGGAGCCTGATGGGGCAGCCAGGGACACAAACACTCCCTGACTCAGTGTGTCTACCTAGGAGTGGTGCGAACAGCCATCCCCAACATGGATCGAGAGACACAGGAGGAGTTCTTGGTGGTGATCCAAGCCAAGGACATGGGCGGCCACATGGGGGGGCTGTCGGGTAGCACTACGGTGACTGTCACCCTCAGCGATGTCAACGACAACCCCCCCAAGTTTCCTCAGAGTAAGAGGGTGGTGTTGTGCCTAAGCTATGATGCTTGATCCCCACAACCTTAAGAGAAGCTGCCTCCCCCCACCCCCCCCACCCGCAACCCTTACCCACCCTGATCTTGGGAGAAGGAAGTGCTGGGGTAGGGAGGAAGCCTGAGGGCCTCTCTAAAAGCTTGTTCCCCCTCCATGCCCGCCAAGGCCTGTACCAGTTTTCTGTGGTGGAGACGGCTGAGCCTGGCACTTTGGTGGGCCGGCTGCAGGCCCAGGACCCAGACCTAGGAGACAACGCTCTCATGGCGTACAGCATCCTGGATGGGGAAGGGTCGGAGGCCTTCAGCATCAGCACCGACTCCCAGGGTCGAGATGGGCTCCTCACTGTCCGCAAGGTCAGCCTCCTGCAGCCTCCTGCAGATGGGGTGGGAGTTAAGCTCAGTGGTAGAGCATTAGCATTAACAGAATGCACAAGCCTCAGCTAAATCCCCAGCTCCAGGGTCACTTCTGTCTTCCTCCTGTGGGGACATTTCAAACCACGCAGGGAACCCCTATGCTGGACTTTGCAGATGAGTCCTGGAATTAGACTGCATCACAAGCTGCCCACCATACCCCTGAGGCCATGGCCACTCCAATGCCACCGATGCTCTACACAGATGCACACAGACCTCACCAGTGAACTGGGCCTGGTCTGGCTTCTGCTCAACTCACTTGTCATTTCCCCTGACCATAGCCCTTAGACTTTGAGGCCCGCCGCTCCTACTCCTTCCGTGTGGAAGCCACCAACACACTCATTGACCCAGCCTACCTGCGGCGAGGGCCCTTCAAAGATGTGGCCTCAGTACGAGTGGCTGTGCAGGATGCCCCAGAGCCACCTGCCTTCAGCCAAGCCACCTATCACCTGGCAGTGCTGGAGAACAAGGCTCCTGGGACCCTGGTGGGCCAGATCTCTGCCATGGACCTAGACTCTCCAGCCAGCCCTATCAGGTAAGAGAGGAGGTGGGCTGGGGAGGGGCCAGACCTCCAGGAAGGAGCCCAGAGGCAGGCTGTTCCCACCTAAGGCCACTTCCCTTCCCTTGCTGCAAACCACACCTCCCTGCAAAGGTGTCCCTCAGTGGCACCTCCCAGCGGCAGTGGAAGCAGATGTAACCGTATTTGATAAGTGAATCTCTTGATCACACCCTAAAAGTTACATGATTTACCCACTGGGTAATATTTCATTCTCCCAGTACCCCTGAGAAGTAGGTGTTATTGTTGCCAGTTGTTTTTGGTTTTATGAAAAAAGATATTCATAGCAAAATAATAGGAGGATAACAACAGTTAATACATCACATGTTGTTACCTTTAAAGTTGTTGCTCAGGGTGTCAGTTGTGTTAAAGGCCCTCTGTGAATGTTACCAAATTTGCCCATAATGAGTAGCAGAGCTGGGGTCAAATATGGCCTTGTCCCGCCACTCTTCATGCCTCCCAGGCACTATCCTGTCCCTCTTCTTGAGGGAGGTGCTGGAATATTTCTCTTTTGAGTTGAGTAAAAAGAGATCAAACAGTTGGCCTAAGGTCACACAGCAGGTCTTGATCAGAGCAGGGCTGAAACACAGGTCAGTGGGTGCCCAGGACAAAGCCCCAAAGTCTGAAAAATAGGTAATATTTCTCTCCTTCCATGTCTTTATTTCTCCCCAATCCCCTGAGTCTGGGGTGCCTGGGGCTCTGGAGCATGGACCCTCTGCCCACATGAGTCATGAGGCCCAGCAAGATAAACAGAAGATGGGGTGGAAGAGAGGGGCAACCGCCCTCAGATTGTCCTAGCCTAACCCCATCTTCCCCAGATACTCCATCCTCCCCCACTCGGATCCAGAGTATTGCTTCTCCATTGAGCCCGAAGATGGCACCATCAGAACAGCAGTGTCCCTGGACCGAGAGGCTCGCATCTGGCACAACCTCACTGTGCTGGCCACAGAGCTTGGTGAGGAGCGCTGGGCCCCGAGGAGGCAGTGTGCTCCCGGGAGAGGGGATGTGCCTGGCAAGGGAGCTGGGAGGCCATCACACTCACCAGTGTCCTGTTCCTGGGTCCTGAGCCTGGCTCCTCCCCAACCAGCCCTGTCCTGTCTCCTAGGAGTGAGTGCTGGTCTAGATGCTGTGGGTTTGCCTGAGCACTGCCCTGAATACAGGACTTGCATTAAACAAACCTGGAAGCACTGGGCCTTGCCTGGACACTGGCAGACCCTGCCCTGTCTGTGCTTCAGGTGGGGATTCTTCTCTGAGGGCCAAGCCAGGTCCACCATCAGCTGTGCCCAGTGCAGCTCTGGTGGAAGCCCTGGAAGTCCCTCTGAGGTGGGGGAGTGGGGCCTGCTGTCTCGTGTGTGGCTCTCATGCCCCATCCTCAGTTGCCAGCAACCTGGGAGACAGGGCACCCTTCTGTGACAAGCCATGTATCCCTGTGTACCTTCCCCTGCTGTCTTCATGCTGAATGTCAAAGCTGTGGTCATGCGCGTGTGAGTGGAGAGCTGGGTGGATGTGAGGATATAGTCAAGTATGAGTATAATTCCATGTGTGTGAAATGCACACATACAGGCCCACATAGTTGTATGTGTGTATAAATGGGTACATGTATGTTTACAATCAAGTGTTTGTATAGAATTGTCTGTCTATACCTGTGATCAAATGTGCACAGAGCCGTACATAAGTAGTTGTTTGTACCTGTTATGTGGTACATGTGGGTGTCTGTCAACAAATAATAATAATTCTTTCTTGTATATCAATACTATTTTAAGTGTCAATAATGGATTAACTCATTTAATTGTCACCAAAATTTTATGAGGGAGACATGATTATTTCCCCATTTTTAAATGAGGAATCTTAGGTGTAGAGAAGTTAAGTGACTTCCAAGGTCACGCAGAGATGAAGTGATGAAGCCGTCTGACCCAGTCAGTCCATGGCCTAAGCTGTGAACTCCTTTGTCACCCTGCCTTCCATGCATGTTTAACTGTGTGTGTCTGAGCATGTTGTTAAATATGCAGCTGTGTGTCTGTAGTCGTAAAGATGTCTGCTTAGCTAACCCGTGTGTGTGTCCCCTAGCAGTCTTTTCACCCTCATGTCAAAACCTGCCCTTACCCCACCCTAACACTGGCTAGCAGCCCTGGGCCCTTGCTGCAGAGAAGGAGTGGACCCTGCCCCCATTCTGTGTCTTAAGTTATTGCAGACCCCAGAGCCAGGCAGTCCATTTAGCCTCCCCTGCCTGGGCCACACCCTCAGCCCCTCCTAGCAGGCCGGCAGTGCTCCCTACTTAGGAAAGAGACTAAAGGAATTGAAGGCTCAGCCTAGAAGACAAGGCATCCTCTTGTGAGTGGCATGCAATGAGCAGCAAGGTAGGCCACTGCTGGCGAGCCTCCTGCTGCTGAAGGAGGTGGGTGAAGGGCCCGTGTCTGGCTGTGGTGCCCAGGCCCTGCACCCTGCAGTGCCGACTGTAAAGTTCCTGCTTCCCAAGGTCAACACTGAGGGATCTCATTGCTGCACTGCAGCCTCCTTGCCCTCTGATGAGATGTGTGTGTGTGTGTGTGTGTGTGTGTGTGTGTGTCCCCTTCCAACCCCTGGTGCTGTGCATGGTCACCGTGTGTGAAAATGCATTCTCTGGGCCTGCGATCTGGGGCATGTGGCGCTGCTTTTGCCGTGTACCAAACATCTGCTTCATATATGCTGTATTTGTCTTCAACACTCATATTGGCTGTGTGGCATGAATGTGTGGGTATGGCTGTTACCCACACTCAACCTGTTCGCACTCTTTCATTTATGCTGCATGTGCCCTGCATGTGGGTCACTGCGTATGGCTATGTGGCCCATACTGTGTTCCACTGCATGTATTTCATACATGCTACACATCTTGCATGCTACGTGAACATCATATATACTCGGTGTTGTTTCATTCACTTTACCCTGTGATTTGCTGTCTGCATATTACATGCTTATTTCACGTATTGTATGTGCACATTATGTTTGCGTCTGACGTTCATGCCGATGCATCACATATTTTGTATCCAAACTGCGCTGTGTGCCCTGTGTGGTGTGTACGTGTTGGTGTTCTGGCTTCAGACAGCTCCGCACAGGCCTCCCGTGTCCAAGTGGCCATCCAAACCCTGGATGAAAATGACAATGCTCCTCAACTGGCTGAGCCTTATGACACCTTTGTATGTGATTCTGCAGCCCCTGGCCAGGTAAGCAGCTGAGGCCGATGGGTTGGGATTTCAAGGCCTCCAGCAGCCCACTCTATTCTGGGCCTTTCTTCTTCCCAGTTGATCCAGGTCATCCGGGCCCTGGACAGAGATGAAGTTGGCAACAGTAGCCGAGTCTCCCTTCAGGGTCCTCTGGGCCCTGATACCAACTTTACTGTCCAAGACAACCGAGGTGGGCAGCATCCTGCAACTGTGTCCCCTCCTCCACACCCAGCCCCCTGCCCCACCTACTGGCCATCCAGCCTGGAGGCATGTGTTCGTACACACTCACATGTCTGCTCCCTCTAAACCTTCCCTCTAACTAAAACAGCCCTGCCAGGAGGGCCTCCCAGAGATGCCCCAATACCTCTCCTCTCCCACAGATGGCTCCGCCAGCCTGCTGCTGCCCTCTCGCCCTGCCCTACCCCGCCAGGCTCCATACCTGGTTCCCATAGAACTGTGGGACTGGGGGCAGCCAGCACTGAGCAGCACTGCCACAGTGACTGTCAGCGTGTGCCGCTGCCGGCCTGATGGCTCTGTGGCGTCCTGCCGGGCTGAAGCTCAGCTCTCACCCACTGGCCTCAGCACTGGTGCCCTGCTCGCCATCATCACCTGTGTGGGCACCCTGCTTGGTGAGTCAGGCCACAGTAGGATACAGCGATAGGGTTGGAGATTGCCAGGGTTGTAGAGAAGAACCCTGTTCCTGGACATAGGGCTCAAATGACCCCTTATGCCTGGGTTTCCCCACCACTTGCTGTGTTCAGCAAAAAAGGCTCTGCTTCCTGTCTTTGATCTGCCACTCCACAGTACTGGCATAAAGATTATATTTATTGGACCCTTGTCCTGTGCCAAGTGTGGTGTTAGGCACATCACTTGTGGTATTCCATTCATCCTTTCAAAAACCCTAAGAGGTAAATATATTCTCTTTAATTTCCACTATGTAAACTAAGGATCAAAAAGTTTCAGAGAAGTTAAGCAACTTCCCATGGTCAGCCAGCAAGTAAAGCTTGGAGTTAGTATTCAAAGCAAAGCTGTCCGGGTGTCAGGCCTCTGCCAGCCTCAGTCTGCCCAGTGCCACGCTGGCTCAGGCCTGTTCTCCCACAGCCCTTGTGGTGCTGTTCGTGGCCCTGCGGCGACAGAAGCAGGAGGCGCTGATGGTTCTGGAGGAGGAGGACGTCCGGGAGAACATCATCACCTACGACGACGAGGGTGGCGGTGAAGAGGACACCGAGGCCTTCGACATCACGGCCCTGCAGAACCCCGATGGTGCAGCCACATCTGCACCAGGGCCTCCTGCCCGCCGCGATGTGCTGCCCCGGGCACGGGCCCCGCGCCAGCCCCGGCCCCCAGGCCCGGCCGATGTGGCGCAGCTGCTAGCACTGCGGCTGCGTGAGGCGGATGAGGACCTCGGGGTACCCCCCTACGACTCGGTGCAAGTGTATGGCTACGAGGGCCGCGGCTCCTCTTGCGGCTCGCTCAGCTCTCTGGGCTCTGGCAGTGAGGCAGGTGGTGCCCCCGGCCCCACAGAGCCGCTGGATGACTGGGGCCCTCTCTTCCGCACCCTGGCTGAGTTGTACGGGGCCAGGGAGCCCCCGGGCCCCTGAGCGCCGCCAGGCAGCCTTTCCAGGCCCTCTGAGTGAACCCCAGGGTCCAGGCAGGCGGCAGCAGCCCGGCCTCCTCCCCGCCCATGGCCCTCCTTCCCTCCAGAGCATCCTTGCTCTGCCCTCCCACTCCTAGGTCGTCTGTGTGTCTCTCCAGGGATCTCTGTCTGTCTGTGGCACCTTGTCCAGGTCTGGGTTTTGTGGCCCTGACCCTGCACCTCTGCACTCACACTGTGACTCCTTTATCTGTGGCTATTGTCTCAGCGTCCGAGTCTCTCGCTGTCTTCCTTACACACATGCCCTGTCTCTCTCCAGCCCGCCTCACCCCTCTTCCCTGGGTCCCTATAACTGGTTCTTGGGTTTTTTTGGTTGTTGTTGCTGTCTATCCCAAAAGCAAAAGAAACTTCCAGCCACTGCTGCCCGCCCTCCTGCAGGGGATGCTCTGCCCCAGGTCAGTGCCCTAGACAGAGGGCCGGGGTGGGCGGAGGCCCCTCCCCAGCCCTGCCCTCACCACTGTCTGTCCTGCAGACCTGCCCGCATGGTTCCTTCCATCACTCATGGCCTCATCCTGGCTCTGCCACGTCCAGCAGGAGTGAGCCGCCGCCTCCCAGGGCAAGAGCTTCAGTCCCCAGTTGGCCACCTCCCTGGAGCTCTGCCCAGCTGTCAGCCTGCCCTTGGTGACCCAGCTCTGGGCATTGTCTTGTGTGTTTCCCAGGCCCCAGGGAGAGAAGGAAAGAGGGAGGCGGCTGGGGAAGGGGAAAGAGGGAGGAAGAGGAGGGGCCTCCATCTCTAATTTCATAATAAACAAACACTTTATTTTGTAAAAGCCTGAACTCGCTTCAGTTCCTGCAGGAAGACTTCTGAACAGTGCTTCATTTACACTGAGGGATGGAGGACAGGCCCAAGGGGTACCCCATCCTCTTCCCCTCCCCCACCCAGCACATTCCTCCCAGAGCCACCACGGCAGAGGAGGCTTTGCACCCTCCCTTTGGGCCGCACGTGTGCCCCTACTCCCACCAGCACCCCTCCAGATTCCCTGCCCTGCTGGTCTCAAACTTCTGAGGAAATGAGATGTGGGGATTGACCAGAGAGAAGGCTGACAGAGGAACACCGGGTAGAGCCACAGAGGAGAGAGGAAGGGAGAAGCAAGAGAAGAGGTTAAGGCTGGGGAATGAGTGGGCAGGTGGCAGCAGTGGCAGGCAAGACTGCAGTGTCAACTGGAGAGGGCGGGCCAGGGCCAGTCTCTGAAACCGGGCCTGCTGCTGATTCTCCCCCAGCTCACAAGGAGGCAGAGGGAGCTGGGAGTCTTACTGAGGGCAGAATCCAGTCACCTGACATAGCAACTGAGGGGGAGTAGCCAGCATCACCAGTGCCCACTCTCCACATGGGGCAGGAGCCCTTGTGACCTTCCCCTATGTGGGGTGCTACTTTGATGAGAACACACCTTCTCACACCTTGCATACCTGCCAGGTGGCAAGAGGACAAGGATCCTCACTCCAGTGCTGGCCATCACTTACTCTGGTGAATCTGGAAACCTGCACCCCTGACAGCTACGGGCCTGTACAAGAGCTGGTTGTCTATCCTGCCAGCCACAGGAGATAGGCGGCATTCCAAGCAGGGCATCACAGAACAAGGGCTTCCTCTTTAGGTCAGGAAAGGCAAGATTTCTGCCTCTGCTCTCACCCTGAAAGCTGCATCAACCTTCAGGAGTTACTGGAGCAATGAAGGAAATGACTCTGGCCACTCGTAGGGAGGGGTGCTTTCAGAGCCCTCCCTCTCATCCTCCTGAGCCCACTTCCACCAACTCACTACAAACTTAAAGGATGCCTAGAATCCTAGCACTCAAGCATTGCAAGTTCAAGGCCAGCCTGGGCTGTGTAGCAGGACTTTGTCCAAACAAACAAACCTTACCAATTTTTCCTTTTAAATTTTTACTGAACATAGGAAAATAGCCCAGGCTTGTCTCTGCCCTCAAATACCTCATCATTTGAATGGACAGAACCTGTCAAAGGTAGTGAAGGTGGGATAGGGCTATGGAAAAAAGTAGGAAGAAGCAGGGTAGGAGAAGGAGATGCAAGATGGGGCTTAGTGCCAGAGACAGAGCTCAGCGGCACAGGGCCTGCCTGACAAGCACAAGGGCCTGGGTCTGATTCCCAGTACTGAAAAGAAAAAGAGTTCTGCCCTCTGGGTTCAGCCCCCTGGTGTGCCTTGGGAAAGGGACAGGCACAGAGCATCTCCCCCACTTCACCCCTGACACCGGGGCACGGGCGAGGGCTGCAGGAGGCTGCTGTGGAGGCTGCTGGCCAGATTCTTTGACTCCGGCTCGGAAGCTAATCCACAGCAGAGGAAACCTCTGTCCCCTTCCGCAGCTCTGCTTCCCTACCACCACCACCCGTCCCCCTTGCCACCGCTTTCCTCTCTGGGCCTCCCTGAAAGCTTTCCTTTCTCCTCCCCAGGCACTTGATCAGAGGTCTGTGGTCTGGTCACCTCCTGCCCAGAAGAATTGTTAACCTGAGGCATGGGGTGGCCAAGGAGGGGAAAAGCAGCCTTGTTCTTGGAACTGGGATGAGGGGAAAGAAGTTTCAGAAATCTTCTTCAGGCCTCATCTCCTAGGCCAATCCTGCTTTCCTTCCCACCCCCTGCCATGAAAAGAGGGCAATAGTCCTCCCAGAGCTGTCAGCCTGAGTCTCCAAGTTGGGGATCACAGGGGTGGGGGTGACAGGAGGGGTAGGAAAACCCACTCTGGCACAGCCACCTCTTTTCTTCATTCTCCAGAGGGAGCATCAGGGAGGAGTCTGGGAGAAGAAAGAAAATGTCTAGCATGACAGAGGCCCAGAAGGGTAGAGAGCAGGCACAGGCCATGGCAGACATGGCCACGCGAGACAGCAGGGGCACTTCTCTGAGCTATCCCTCAGGGCCTCTGGCTCTTCAGGGTTCATTCATCCCAGCTGCTGGGCAGGGTCTTGGCCCATCTGCGCTCCTTCCACATCACTCCCCAGAATCTAGGGAAGCTGGCCCTAAAGCCCAGACTCTGCAGTGGGAGGCCTGGATCCAAGGCCCCTGGCTGCCACCTACTATGTAACCCGGGCAAGTCCCATGACCCTGTGAGTCTGATTCCTCTTCCATGAACTGAGGAACGTTTTCCCTGCAAGGGCTGCACTCAGTGCAGGAGTGCTCATTACAGTCATTTCAGTGAAGGCAGGGTACAGGGCAGCTGAGAGGCCTCCTGCCCTGCACTGGGCTCACACCTATTGGGGCCACTCTCCCCACATGATTCCAGGAGGAGCTGCACCTCCAAGCTGAGAAGGTGACCAGGAAAAAGAGACAGACTCGTGCTGCCATCAATAGAAGGTCATCGCAAGAGAAGAGAGCTTGGGAGAGGACAGCAAGAAAAAGAGCACCTAGCATGGCACCCAGCGAGCAGCAGGCACATGGCAAGTGTGTGCTCAAAGTCAGCTTGGAGCCGAGAGGATCAATGCACCAGGCATGGATACACACATGCTGGACAGAACTGGCAATGGGTTTTGGAGGCAGAAAGGGTGGGAACTTGGAACAAATGAAGCAGGCAACCCAGAAGGCCTGGAGCCAGGTGCTTGAGGCTGCTCCCAGCAGAGCCTCCCCACTGCCCACTTCCTCCCTCAGCCTGGGTTTCCAAGTCCTGCCCCTTCTCACAGTCTCTCAGTTTTTGCTGGTGTCTTGGGAGTCTTCTAGTGCCAACTCCTCTGGGCCCACAGGGAGTTCTCTGCCTTCCGAAGCTCCATGAGGAATGACAGGCTCAGGCTGGGCCTGGGTGTCCTCACTCTCCAGCTCTGGCACCGGGAGCATCTGCAGCTCTGTGTACAGCACACAGGCATCACTGCGTGATACATACTCCCATCCACTCTCCCGCACATGGAACAGGTCCACTGAGCCCCCTGAGTAGGCATCACGATGGGTGGCATGGGCCACAGCACGGCGGGCCAGGGTATAGGCTTCCTGTGTGGTCATGTCATAGCGGTAGCCGTGGTCTAGCACGCCATAGGCATAGGGAGATCCCGAGCCTACAGAGAATATGTCCCCCTGGAAGCAGGTGCCGTCGCTGTAGACATAGAAGAGAGCAGGGCCAGAGCAGTCCCAGCCACACAGGGCAGTGGCCACACACAGATCCAGCCCCCGGTAGCGGGACATCATGGTTGACAAGAGCTTGGCCGCACCCGCCACACTGGGCATCTGACCCTCCCTTAGAGCCCGAAGCCGCAGCTCCCGCCGCAGCACCCGGTACCAGGTAACACAATCAGCCGAGGTGCCCGAAGTGGTACCCAAGAGGTGCTGGTGCACAGGGATGACCTTGAGTGAAGCTGGACAGGCCACGTAGCTGCCACAGGAGGAACGAGTGTCGGCTGCGGCAATGACTCCATGACGGAAGCGGAAGGCCAGGGTGGTGGTGCCGTGGGCCAGCCTGGGGCCATGGATCCGCAGGAAGGACTCAGGATCACAGCCCCGGGGCACGGTCCAGCTGCCAGCCTGAGACAAGTGAGGGGACAGTCCTTCGATGTCCAGGGCCTGCTGCTTGCATACATCCTGCAGAGCCATCCCTGAGGTCGAGTGAAGGACGGAAGGAGCAGGACAGGGATTTGTGGGCTGGGGTCAAGTCGAGGGAGAGGGACGCTTCAGAGAAGCTGGGCAGCTGCCAGAAACAGCAAGTGAAGCGTATGAGCTGCTGCTTCACCTCTCCCCACCCCAGCCAGGTTTGGGGACCGACCAATGGGACCCTCCTTCCTGGAGGGCTGCTGAGGGCAAACAGGATAAGGCCAGCAGAGTCTCCAACCGTGGAAAGACAAACGCTGCCCATCAGTCAGGCCTTCACCTTCCGTGGCCCGAGACACATCTGCGAGTCACTCACAGAGTCTCCTGCCTGTCATTCTGTGACTGGGAGTGGGTAGGAGGGTGAAATAACTGCAAAGAAAAGGCACACACCAGGAAGGAAGAGAGATAGGTCTCTTGTTTTTCCTGTGTGGGACATTGGGCGGTGAAAGAGAAATAAGGCCTGAGAGGGCAGCTGGCCTGGGAGAGTAACAACAACTCAGTAGGAGGAGAGGGCGCAGGGGAAGAGATTTGAATAAAGAAGGAAGACACGCTAGGCACATGTACCACCTCCCCACAAGCAGTATGACCATCATGTACAGTGAACATGCTACAATGAAAATCGAGAGAAAAGGAAAAGACAACTCAGTGCTTTGACAGAGAGCTTCGGACCCACTGAGGCTATGGGTTTGAGCAGAAAGCAGACCCAACTGCTACTTAAAATAAATCCAGCTGGATGTGGTGGCACAGTCCTGTAATTTCAGCACTTAGGAAGCTGAGGTAGGAGAATCATTGCAAATTCCAAACCAGCCTGGGCTACAAAGTGAGCCCAAGGCCAGCCTGAACTGCATAGTGAGACCTTGTCTCAAAAAGATAAAAAAAGGGGCTGGGGATTTAGCTCAGTGGCATAAGCGCCTGCCTTGAGTTCGATCCCCAGTACCGGTAAAAATGAAAAAGACAAAAAAAAAAAAAAAAAAAAAAAGGAGAAAAAGAAAAGAATTAATAGCTGGGCATGGTGGCACATGTCTTTGTTCCCAGTACTTGGGAGGCTGAGACAGGAGGATTGCTATGAGTTTGAGGCCAATATCAGCTACATAGTGAATTCAAGGCCAGCATGAACTATATAGTAAGACTATCTCCAAAGAAGGTGGGGGCAGGGGTGGGTAGAAGAGAAAATGAAGGAAAAGAAAAAAGCAATGCAGACCTCCTTGACAAAGCCACCTGAGACCCCCAAGCCTGTACTACTCTATACTGACCTCCTCCCAGCCTCTGCATGACAGCACTTGAAACCACAGGATGAGGTGAGGAAGTCAGGATCAGATCATGGGAGGTCTCATGTGCCATCTTGTAGAGCTTGAACTTTAGAGGACACTTTTAGGGAGGTGAGTGATAAGATCAGGATGGCATTTTAGGAAAACCATTTGCCACTGTGCCCAGTGAACTAGAAAGTGACAGTTTAGGTCCAGAAAAATGGTGTAGGAAAAATTTTTCAGTAATTCAGGAGTGAGGAAATGAAAAGACAAAGGTGATTATCAGTTGCATGAAAAAGAATGCAAGAAATATTGTAGAGGGAGAATCAGTCAGACCTGGAAATTCGCCATATGTGGGAGAAAGGGGTGGGGTCCTGGACGAGCAGTTTTCAAGCTCTGGGAGGAATATTATTGTCATTCTTCCCTGTGTTTATGTGGTAAATGTATACTGAGTTGTGGGGACAGAGATGAACAGTAGAGAAATACATGTCTTTTTTTTTTTTTTTTTAATCAGTACTGGGGATCAAACTCACGACAGCCTACTTGCAGGGCAGATACTTATGCCGCTGAGCTAAGTCCCCAGCCCTGAGAAATACGTCTTTAAAACCTCACAATCCAGCTAGGTGTGATGGTACACACCTGTAATCTCCACACTCCAGAGGCTGAGGCAGGAGGATCACTGTGAGTTCATAGCCAGCCTGGGCTACATAGTGAGTTCAACATCAGGCTGAGAGATGCTGTCTCTAAACTGATACTTCATATTCAAAAATAAATACATACTCATAATCCATCCTGAAGATGAGTTCTGGCCAGGTATAATGTAAAGGTGCTTTTACAAAGGTAGGTGGAAACTGTTGGTCAAAGGTGAAAGAATAAATGAAAGAAGTCAGGAGGATTAATTACATTACAGAGGTGATGGCTGAATAACGTATGTTCAATAAAAAGAGGCACTTTGGGATGGAGATATAGCTCCCTGGCACAGCACCTGGCTGGCAAGCACAAGTTCCTGAGTTCAATTTCTGGTACAAAAAAAAAAGACACTGCATTTTCCACACCATCCAAGTGTGAGACACAAAGATCTCCTGTTTCATCACATTCTGGTGGAGCTGGGTTAGGGTTGTCAAATTTCAGCATTAAAAATACAGCACACACAGAGCCAGCTAAAGGAGAGGAGGGGCAGGCATTGAGAATCAGAAGAAAGTGGAATGTAGCTGTTGCTGCCGGACTCCTACAAAGAAGGCCAGACACCAACTTCACAAAACCATAAAGCAGGAGGCAACATTTCATACATATGCCCACTTCCTGACTTGTCACCATTCCCAAGAGTGGAGAAATGAAGATGGGTGGAGGGAAGACGAGACAATAAAGATACCCCATTCCGAAAAAGAGCTTCATCTCGGTAAGCTGAAGGAAGAGAATTTCTTGGTACATCTTTATGGGGTCTCAACTCTCCTCTATGTTCTGAAAAGATAAAGTACTATTCCCTCCATTATTCAGGTGCTGAGTTAAGAATCTAGTTGGTGGATTAGCTGAGATTTTTGCTTACCCTTCTTTATTCTTACTTGCCTTATAGGCAATTCATTACAATTTCTAGTAGAAGATAGGAGAAAATACTGAATCTTAAAAGTTGGTGGGGGCTGGAGATTTAGCTCAGCGGCATAAGTACCTGCTTTGCAAGCAGGCGGTCGTGAGTTTGATCCCCGGTACCGATAAAAATGAAAAAGAAAAAAAAAAAAAAAGTTGGTTCCTGTTAAAGACTTGTACTGTAGCAAGTAACGCTATGAACAAGAGCACTTTATTTCATTGAGCTTTTTATTATAAACTGGGGTTTAATGCCACAGGGAAATGGCTTCAATATAGATAATTACACCGTACTAGGTGTGTATGGGGAGAGTCTCCTTAAACAAGCGGCAAGTGCTGAAGCAAGAGTTGTAACTTGCAAGTTGGACTCCGGGACGACTTACAGTTGAGTCCAGAACCTATTTTCAACCAGTCACGCCCTTCTCAAAAATGGCTGACTTCGCCTTCATCACTCAATATGGTGGTTTTCAATCACTTCCTATGACCAAAGTCAAGACGGCACCCACAACGGCTTTAGAGTTCTTAAGGATAGTGAGGCTACTTCCCCGCCCCTCTGTGGTGAAAATGATCGCCGGCATCTGGCTCTCGGTTTTTTTTTTTTTTTTTTTTTTTTGGAGGCGTGGCTGCCAGGAGTTAAAATGGCTCTTCTGGGGCTAGATATAATAGGAAGTGAAGCCGTGACGGCGAGGCGTTGCCCGGCCGTTCCTTGCTAGGCGTTCTCGGAGTTAGTTCCCTTTGCCCTTATTAGACATGGCGCTGGCCAGCGTATTGGAGAGGCCGCTACCGGTGAACCGGCGCGGGTTTTTCGGACTTGGGGGTCGGGCGGATCTACTGGACCTGAGTCCAGGGAGTTCCAGCGATGGGCTGAGCCTGGCCGCGCCCGGCTGGGGTGCCCCAGAGGAACCGCGAATCGAAATGCTTCATGGAACCACCACTCTGGCCTTCAAGGTACGGATCCAACGGCCTTCCCCGGCGGGTTCTCGAAAGCCCGCACGCTTCCTCACCTCTCAGCCTCACCGTAGCCCTCAGTCCCCGCGCCCACCAAGCCCAAGCGGACGCTTAGACCTCGTCCCGACCCCCGCGGTTTCGCTGTCTCATTGTCCCGGGAAGCCTCGGTCCTCGCGCTGCCCGCGGAGCGGGGCGGTGGGGAGGAACCCGAAGCAGCTTGGGTTGGCTCCTAGACGACCCCAGGCTGCTCCTGTCTAGGCGCTCCTGGGTGGAAAAGGCCAGGCCCGCTCAGGGAGGGCTTTGTCGCCGTTCACCAAAGGTTTTGTAAACTGAGCGTCCCTTGCTGGGTAAGTGAAGCTCCGAGGCCTGAGCAGGAAGCTTGGTGAGGTCCCTGGTCAAGTTCTGCAACAAGCCCTGAATCTTGGGCAGGTCGTTCTGTCTCGTTGGACCTGTTTCCTTTCTTCATCCACAAAGCGAATATAATACTGGCTGTGTCCCCGTTGAGGGATTGCAGTGAAGCTTAGTTGACGTCAGTATGTGGAGAAGTTCGTTGTGAAAGGAGATGTGCTGGGTTTGCAATGGTGAAAAAAGAAATGGAAAGAAAATATTTAGTGGTCTGATGTGGTTTGTTTTGTGTTCTAATCTTCAGTTTCGCCATGGAGTCATTGTTGCTGCTGACTCCCGGGCCACTGCCGGGGCTTACATCGCCTCCCAGACGGTGAAGAAGGTGATAGAGATCAACCCGTACCTTCTGGGCACCATGGCCGGGGGTGCAGCAGATTGCAGCTTCTGGGAGCGGCTGTTGGCTCGGCAGTGTCGAATCTACGAGCTACGAAATAAGGAACGCATCTCAGTAGCAGCAGCCTCCAAGCTGCTAGCCAACATGGTCTATCAGTACAAAGGCATGGGGCTGTCCATGGGCACCATGATTTGTGGCTGGGATAAGAGAGGCCCTGGTGAGTTGAGCTACAATCACATGATCCTCGGGCTGTCGCTACAGAGGGGTTTCATGCCCTATCTGAGGAGATATTGATTAGGTTTTTTGATATTGATTAGGCTTGTTTTGAGACCGATCTCACTGTTCAGCCCCTTGTCTATCCTCCTGCATTGGCCTGTTATAGACATGCACACCTGGCTGGCTGATTAGGTTACAGCCCTTTTCTTTGTCTAAGGAAGGCACTGGAGTGTAGGAATGGACATGGAATCAGTCCTGCTGTGTCGTTGGTAACCTGTGTGACCGCAGGCAGGTTGCTTTTTCTTTCTTATCTTGCTTTTTTCTGGAACCCTGGCTAAGTGAGTTAATACATATAAAGTAACTTGTCAAATGTCTGGAACATACGGGGCTGGGGATTTAGCTCAGCGGCAAAAGTGCCTGCCTTGCAAGTGTGTGGTCGTGAGTTCAATCCCCGGTACCGATAAAAAAAGAAAAAGACAAAAAAAAAAATATCTGGCATATAATGCTTTCCCTTCTGCCCCATAAAATAAGTCCTAGAAAGACTTACAATAAGTTGTATTTGAGAATTGGGTGATAGACATAAAACTCTAGCTGGTGTTATAAAAAATAACGTGAGTCACATATGTAATTTAAATTTTTCGCATGGATGTGAGAGTAAAAAGAAACAAGTGAAATCAGGTTTAATGGTCCATTTGCCTGGCTGTGGTGGCACACACCTGTGTGTGGCACTTTGGAGGCTGAGGCAGGAGAATCACTTTGAGTTGGAGGTCTGAATTACCATAACAAGACCTAATGTCCTAATGCCCAAAGCCAGTAGTTGCATTTTAAATACTCACTAGCCACATGTGGTTAGCAGCTATGTATCATATAGTGAAGCTTGAATATGTAGTAGCCTCTCAAAAGTTAAGTCATTTCTTGCCAAGTATGTGGTGCACACCCTTAATCCCAACTACTCAAGAGGCTCAGGCAAGAAGATAAAAAATGGAGGCTAGCTGAGCAACTTACCATGACCCTGTTTTAAAATAAAAAGGACTAGGGGCTGGGGATTTAGCTCAGCGGCATAAGCGCCTGCCTTGCAAGCAGGCAGTCGTGAGTTCGATCCCTGGTACCGATAAAAACGAAAAAGACAAAAAATAAAAAAAATAAATAAATAAATAAAAAGGACTCGGGAATATAGTTTACTGCTGCCTGGGTTCAATCCTCAGTACCACCAAAAAAAAGTTCTTTATTTTATTTTATTTTTTGTCTTTTTCGTTTTTATCGGTACCAGGGATCGAACTCATGACTGCCTGCTTGCAAGGCAGGCGCTTATGCCACTGAGCTAAATCCCTAGCCCCTCTTTTTTTTTTTTAAGGATATTAAGAGTAAGAAAGGTTTCAGGGGGACTACGAGTAGCTTCTGAGAGATAAGAGGGTCCTGAGTGCTGCCCAAAACTTAATTTTCTTTCCTTTTTCCTTTAGAGAGTCTTTGGCCTAGAAGGAGACTTTTAAGCCATCTCCTTTCTTGTCTTGCCTGATAGAGTCTCGCTTACCATCATCTAAAGTCCTGTTCTTTTTTTCTCTAAAAAGAAATTCCTTAGCCTATTTTTGTTGTTGTTTTATTTTGTTTTTGAGACAGTGTCTTACTATGTGGTTCATCCTGAGCTTGAGCTCACTATATGACCCAGAATGGCCTGGAATTTGTGATCCTCCTGCCTCAGTTTCCTAAGTCCTGGGATTACAGGTGTGTTTGCCACCATGCCCAGCGACCCTGTCTTTCTAAGTGTATAAAAACCTTACCAAGAAGTTCATCCTTGGTTGTTTTTCATGGTACTGGCAACTAAACCAGGGCTTTAGCACTAAGCTACATTTCCAGCCCTTTTTATATTTTTTGAGACAAAGTCTCACTAAATTGCTAGGTGACCTGGCTTTGGTTTGTTTGTTTCAGTACTAAGACTTGAACTGAACCCAGAGCTTCAGCACTTACTGGGCAAGTGCTGTACACTGAGCTACACCCCAGTCCAGTGATTTTTTTTTTTTTTTTTTTTTTTTGTCTTTTTCCTTTTTATTGGTCCCGGGGATCGAACTCAGGACTGCCTGCTTGCAAGGCAGGCGCTTAGAATGCTGGTGAGCTAAATCCCCAGCCTCCAGTCCAGTGAATTTTGAATCAGTCTTTCAGTAAAGGCGGAGCAGTGTTAGTCACTTTCTGTGTAATTTTCCCTCCTGTATGCCTGAAGATACTCTTTTCTTCTATTGTTTTATTTCATTCATTTACTTTCCTGCCTTTCCTAGTTATCCTATAGAATGGTTATGCAATACCTATCGCTTTTTTATTTGCTTTGGAGGAAGTTAGAAAAGAGTATAAGTGATTAAAAAAAAAAGAAAGGAGTATAGGGAATATCAGTTTTCTACCCAAGGAGGATGAATGAAAGAATTAAAAAGTGAGTGTGAAAAAGCAGTTCAGTCTGTTACTTTGGGAATTGAGACACCTTTCTCTGCAAGGTGTGAAAGAACAGTTCCGTGTACTTTTTCTGATCCAGGGAAACATTTTAAAATGTTGCTTTAAACTTTTAGCTATTGAGGACAAGCGATTTAGCTTAGTGGCCTAAGTGCCTGCCTGGCAAGTGCAAGGTTGTGAGTTCAATCCCCTGTACCAAAAAATAAATAAATAAATACCTTGCTGGTGGATCTGTTCCAGGTGGTAGCATCATTATAAGATAGTTCAGGACCAGCTAGCATGCAAATCTTAGAAGCTGTAACCTAAACTGTACCTCTTCAAGAAGCCTTCTTGGTGTGGAGGAGGGGAAGAGTGACTCAGCTCTGGGTAGCTGGATGTTTTTTTAAAGCCTTCTTGACAACCCATCCCATTCAGTGTGAAGCAGCAGTTCCTTCCCTCAAGAAGTCAAGTGAGGCTGGCTGGGCTTGGTGGTATAAGTCTGTGATCCCAGCACTTGGGAGGCTGAGATGGGAGGATCGCCATGAGTTCAAGGCCATCCTGACCTACATAGTGGATTTATGGCCAGCATGACTACATAGCAAGACCCTTTCTCAACCTCCCCCCCTCCAAAAAAAGAGGGGTAAAGCGAAGGAAGTGAGGAAATAAGCACAAAGCTTTGGTGAAGTCCAGTCCAGCTAAGGCGTATGAAAGGAAATAGTGAGGCAGAAAGCTGGAGAGGTAAATTGGAACCAGGTGGTGAGCCTTGAGGCCAGGTGGTGGTACCGGGATTGAGGAGGGTCTACAGTGATAACTAACAGACGGCTTCTGCATGGGTGCTATCCGTTCACCACCACTGGCTGGACAGGTAGACTAGAATCAGTGGGCCTGGAAGCTGCTGGTGTGAGCCCAGCATGAACAATTTATGAGACATTCTCAAAATTTAAAAAGGCCTTGGGGGTTGGAGGTTACACCAGTACGGAAGCCCTGGGTGCAATTCCAAGTACTGGGAAGAAGAAACCTTTGATGATTTTGGCACACTAGGAAAGTTACCTAAAATAGGAAAAAGATTAGTGGTGCTGACCAGGCACAGGTACTCCCAGCTATCTAGGAGGCACAGGCAGGAGGATCACAAGTTCAAAAACAGCCAGGGCTACTTAGCAAGACTGTCTCAGAAACAACAAAAAACAGTTCCAGCACTGTGGACACTAAAGCAAGAGGATCACAAGTTCCACCCAGCTTGGCAGTGAGTCTTGTCACAAAATTAGAAAAGGACACAGAATGTTGCTCATTGTGAAGGCACAGGCTTCAATCTCTAGTACCACTTGGAAAACATACACTTGTACACGCACACATACAAGACTAGTGTCATTGTAGACTTGGAGAAGACAACAGGAAGTGTGACAGGTGAGACAGGAGAGCAGAGTTTGGTGGGTCCTGAAGAATCCCTGAAGGTGTTTGAGGACAAGAAATTTGAATCTGATCTTTGCCATGGAAGGATGCCAGGGGCTGATGAGATTGGTAACATTTTTTAATCGGATGCTGGAGGGTTGAACTCAGTGCCTGGTGCCTGTTAAACAGGACCATACCATTTAACTACACTCCTAGCCTTAGTATAGATTTTCTGAGACTCTGTCTGAATTTTCATCTACACCAGCAATCAGCTGACTTTTTAATAATGGGCCAAATAGTATTTTAAGCGTGTCGACCATAGGATCTTTGTCTCAGCTATAGCCATGTACCACAAAATGACAGTCATATCCTATGAGATTACATCACATAGTAATGTGGGAGAATTTTAGGTTTACATAAGAACAGTCTGTGATGTTCACGCTAAGACAGAATTTGCTAAGATGAAGTTCATGGAGCATTGCCTGGTTATCAAACAATGCAGGTACTGCTTAACTTACCTGGTATAGCATATAGACAATATATGAACAAATGGGTATGGCTATGTTCTAGTAAAACTTGCTTTACAAAATGGGTAACTGGCCTGGGCAATTCCTGCCCTATACTATCTTTTGTCTTTCTCCCTGAAACAGGGTCTCGTTGAGTTCCCCAGTTGCCCAGGATGGGCTCAAATTTGGGATCCTCCTGCATTAGCCTCCCAGATGCTAGAATTATAGGTGTACCATCTGTTCTACAGTATCAGTAGAAAGCATGAGGGGCTGGGGATTTAGCTCAACGGTGTAAGTGCTCACCTGGCAAGTGCAAGGTCGTAAGTTTGACACCCAGTATCAAAAAAAAAAAAAAAAAAGAAAAGAAAAGAAAACATGAGCCATAATTTTTACTCCCTATCATTCTGGTAATTGAACCTAGGGTTTCAGCTATGTTAGGGAAACTTTACCACTGAGATAACTGCCAGGTCATTTTTTTTTTTTTTTTTTTTGTCTTCAAAAGGGTTTCACTGTGCAGTTCAAGCTGGCCTTGAACTCACTGTATAGTCCAGGCTGGCCTCAGTGATCCTCCTGCTTTGGCCTCCCAAGGGCTAGGTTTATAGGCATTCCCCACCATACCAGGCTGGCAGTGTTAATTAAGTTTTAACACTGTCTTCCATACTGCCTGAAGTCCTGTGCTTGAAACTTAATGTTCTGCTTCTTTTCTGCCAAGACAGGCACATGATCATGTGAACCTTAATATTAAATTGATTCAGCATTTTTTGTATTTGATTCAGCAATTTTTTTCCAAATTATTTTTTCACTTTTCTTTCAAGTTTTATGTTTTTTAATGCACGTTGCAGTACCTGATGATCGCATTCCTTCGGGGGAGTTGTGCATGCACAGAGCACATCTTATTTCCATCCCTTTCTCTGCCTCCCAAGTAATTTTAGAGAAGTCCTATTTTGTAGTGTTTATGTTGATTTCCCCCTCAGTTCAGGAGAGCTGGAGAACTGCCTTTCAAGATGAATTAGATGTCAAAAGCGATTTCATTTTTTTCTTGTTCATCTTGTCTCCTTTTCCAGGCCTCTACTATGTGGACAGTGAAGGGAACCGGATCTCTGGGGCTGCGTTCTCTGTGGGTTCTGGCTCTGTGTATGCTTATGGAGTCATGGACCGAGGTTACTCCTATGACCTGCAAGTGGAGGAGGCCTACGACCTGGCCCGTCGAGCCATCTACCAAGCCACCTACAGAGACGCCTACTCAGGAGGGTCAGTCAACCTCTACCACGTGCGGGAGGATGGCTGGATCCGGGTCTCCAGTGACAATGTAGCTGATCTCCATGACAAGTACAGTGGGTCTGTCCCCTGAAGAAGGCTGGATGTAGCTGCTGTGTTTCTTGGGGTGACCATTATTGGTAATAATACAGCACCCCTGGAAGTAACCTCAGATGTATCATTACCTTCTTTAACACTCTGGGACACTGGCCTCTACATGGTACCAACTGCTAGTGACCTGCTGCAGAGGTGCCCATTTGTACTTTCTTGGATGTCAACATTACACTAGTTACTGTCCGACTGCAGCGTGCATTGTGTCTTTTGTCCATGCTATCCCTCCAAGCACTTTATAGTCAAATAAGCCAGAACAGGGGGAGGGAAGAGGCTGTAATTAAGGGAAACAGTGGCGTGAAGACATTGTGTAGTAAATACATTAATGTCCCCACTCGTGAAGCTGATAACAAAAGAGAAGGAGGGTGGGGGAAGGCAGAGACTTCCCAATTCAGTTCACAAAGAGATGGAAAGTTGATGAGGTGGAAAAGATGCACGGAGCTGTATAGGCAGGGCTGCAGAGGAAAAAGCTCTCACCCTGGGCTGGCAGTGGGGAGGTGAATATTATATGCAGCAGAGCATGAGGAGGTAAAGCTGGGATCCTAAACCAATGGGGGGAAAAAAGGCTGGGCCTCTGCTGCAGAGAACAAAGAAGGGAACTGGACACAGTAGTGATCACGAGGTTGGTGATCATGTCCTTTAGCCTTCTGGGGTGTGTGTCGCTGTGCAGTGGAGCAGGGGGAGTGAGCTTGCAGCCTCCTAGGCAAGAAGCAGCACTGCACTAGCCCTGGAATATGTGGGAGGGAAGAGGTCCCTCGAGGACCAGAGAGATGCTGGGGGTTCCCAGGCTGTGGTCCAGCAGATGGCAAGGGCTTCTGTTAAAGAGAAAAAGCGGGGGCTGGGGATTTAGCTCAGTGGCATAAGCGACTGCCTGACAAGCGCAAGATCATGAGTTCAACCCCCAGTACCGCAAAAAAAAAAAAAGAAAAAAAGGGCAGATGAGATGGGCAGGAGAAGATATTGCAAACCCAAAGAGAAGGACACAGTAAGACCAGCTTTTATTTAGCCAGAAAGAAGAAAGCTGTGGCTGGGGGGACAACCCCGTGTTGTGTTTTGAGGCTAAGAAGTTGTGAGAGGGCATTCATAGACATGTGTCAGGCCTCCTCTTCCCTCTATGCAGCCACCTTCCCTTCCTCTTCCACCTTATGCAGCTCTTGTATTGATTGGTGAGGGCTATCGCCAGGAGCTGATCGAGGTTTGTTAATTGCATTTGTCAAATGCAGGGAAATTGGGAATTAGTGAGATTGGAGAAGGGAGTTTAGAAAACAAATGACTCTTGTGCCTTAGGAGATTCATTTTGCTGAAAAGTATGTTGGAGGCCCCTGGAGTCTGGGAGCTTCTAGTGCAGACCTATGAGGATTCTTCAGCTGAAAGGACCTGTGACACCTCTTCCTGCTGGGTGGACCATTAGCAAATGGTTAGGGTGATGTGTGGCAGGTGCGGGTACAGTCACCACACTTAGAACACTGGCTTGCATATCCTTTAAAAAATTAGTACTGTACTTTTTAGCAAGGTGTGGTGATGTACATCTGTAATCCTAGCACAGGGCTGAGGCAGGAGGATTGTCATTAGTTAAAGCCTCAACTAAATAGACCCTGTCTTAACAAAACAACAACAAAAGCTTTGCCAACCATGGTGGTGCACACCTGTGATCTGTAGGAGTCTGAGGATGGAGAAGCATATAACTGCAGCCAGTCTCAAAGGTACATAGTTCAAGGCCTGTCTGAACTACATAGTGATTCCCTGTCTCAAATAGTCTTTTGTTTTTGTGTGTATGTGCTGTTTTGTTTTTGTTTGTTTGGTACCAGAAATTGAACTCGGGACCTTGTACTTGCTAGGCAGGCAGGCGCTTGTACCACTGAGCTGTATTCCCAGTTCTCAAACAAATAAACAAAAACTTAATATTTTTTTTTTTTTCCTGGTGGTACTGGAGATTGAACCCAGAGACAACTAACCACTGAGCTACAGTCCCAACCCTTCTATTTTTTGAGACAGGGTATCACTAAATTGTCCAACTGTGTCTCAAATCCTTCTGCTTCAGCCTCCTGAATGACTGGGATTAAGGTGTGTGCCACGAGACTTTGCTTAGACACTTTTTTCTTAGATGAACTCTTAGGAAAATTCCCAATATCTAAAATAGCCCTGGAATTAGAATTGAGGAGTCCAGAACCTCAGCCACTGAACCGCCTCCAGCTTCACCCATCAGCTCCCCTGCACTCCCTCCGCTGGACACCCATTGCTTCTTGGAACTCCAAGGAGCACCTGAAAACCTGTGCCCTAGGAAGCAGCCTTCAGGATGGAAGAGCACTAAAGCCAGAGATGATCCCAGAGAACCTCGGTCTGTGAGCAGCAGTTCAGCTGGCGAGAAGAGCTTACCTGCTTCTGTCTCACACCTCGCTCTGGCAGCGGTCTCACTGCTTAGCATAGACGCCTCCTCTGTGTCACCAGATTCATTGTTCAGGAGAGAACAGGCGTAACCCCAGGGCCTGTGTTCTTTCTGCCACATCCTTGTTCTGTCTTCTGGCACTCAGTGAAACTCATTTAACAGAAGAGATCAATTTGTGGTAGGTTTTCTGGAAAGAATACAGCAGAGGCGAGGAAAAACTGCCAGGCCCTAGTCCAGGGCTCTCCACCCTGTGCACCTCTGATTTCGCGCCACTGGGCACTTGTGGGGGAGTTGGCTTTGCAGTGCTGTCACCTTTGCTCGTGTGGGGATGATGGATGCTACACAGTGCTGGAGAGCCGTGTTGAGTGGATACCAGTTATGGGCTCTCTTCAGATTCATTTCCCAGTACAGTCGCCTTGACAAAGGATGATAGAAAAGAAATTACCTTAAATAGCTAGAAGATTAATTTCTCATGGCAGTTCCCAGGCGCCCAAGGGACGGAGCCCTTTAAGTGATATCTGACAATTTCTCCTCCCTCCACAGACAGCTCAGTAATACCAAAATCTGGCTCCTCCGTGTAGGTGATGGGACTAATCAGATTAAAAAGAGAGTGAACACTCCTAGAGGCCCCAAGTGTTCTTTTGCTAGCAGAGGACACGGACACGGGGCTGAAGGCAGATAAATGGGCCTCACGTGCCAGGCAAGGGAGGGCTGCGGGTGTGCTGCTGGTGTGCTGCTGGCAAGCAAGATGCTTGGGAAGAAGGGAAGGTAGGCAGGGGACAGGGAGGAGGGGGCAGAATCAGATCAGAGACTGGAACATAATAGTCATAGTCGCTGACTCCTTAGGCAAAACTAGAAAGGTCAGTGTCTCTTGATATCCTCGGCTAGCAAAAGAGAACACAGTCAAAGTCATTTGGGGAGTGGAAGGTCACATCCTTTGCAAGGAATAAGATACCTGATGTATTCTGGTCCTTGGATTCCTCAAGGTCTGTTAGGAGAAGGGATCCAGAGGCGAGAGGAGAGGGAGTAAAGTGGAGAAGAAGGCAGGGGGCACTTCTGGGGAACACCTCCCTTTAATGGGAGTAAGAAGGAGGCTGGGCCCGTGGAGAATCAAAATGGTGCATCCACTGTGGGAGCACACTTAGGTTTCTTTATTTTCTCTTATTTTGCTTGTTTTGCTACCAAAACAAGTGCACCCCCTGCCAGGGCTGTATTGGGAGATTAGGCACTTTAAAACTGACCAGCACCAGTAACCTCAAGACAATTAATGGCTTTGTGATTTAAAACATATATACATTGCAACCAACCATCTCTGCTGTTTTGTGTCTGTTTCTTGCCTGTTTTTGTAAATTGTAGCTTCCTCAGGAAGCCAGAATCATGTTGGAAAGGCTTTAATTACAGTGGGCAAGAGGAGAGAGCAAACACAGTGATCAGAACTGCTCTGATCAAGTGCTTCTGCCCAGTCCTCCCCTCAGCAGCCCCCTTTTCCCAGCAGGCAACTGTCCGCACCTTCAGAGTGTCCCAGGCCTGGTCTCCAAGCCAAGTTCTGGCTTCCAAAGGCTATGCCCCCCTGAAACATTTCAATAACAACGATTCCTCAAATGTCCCTTTCACAGTTGTGAGTGGGTCAGGCAGAAGAAATTCTACGCACATCAGCTTCTTGAGTTTAACTTAACTAATTTCTCCCAGAAGCTTTTGCCTCTGAGTTAGGTGCCAAGCTTAACTAACCTTTTATAGTCCAAGTTAAACTGTCATTGGCCACGGATAGTTGACCAGGTTTATGTAAAGACAATAAAGCAGGAGGCAGAGGCAGGAGGAGGGCCGAAAGTTTGAGGCCAACCTGGGCTACATGGTGAGTTCAAGACTAGGCTAGACAGTGTAGTGAGGCTGTCTCAGAGAGAGAGAGAGAGAGAGAGAGAGAGAGAGAGAATAAGATACCATGATTTCAACCTTTTCTGATGCCTCCTACTACTCAACTCTTTTTGCTGTCACTTTATAAAAAAAACAACGCCCATTTTTGGACTGGGGTGTAGCTCAGAGCCAGAGTTCATGCTTACCATGTGAAAGGCTGTGGGTCCAAAGAGTAAAATAAAAAAATAAAAATCTGTTTCTCTTTCTTCTGCAGAATTTAAATAAAAACCAATCAATCAATCAAATGGAGCACTGCTTACGGACATTAATGGAACAAGAAAAGGTTATCACTAGCTGTAGGGGACCCAGAAAGCTGGTATTATCGAGGAAAACACAGATGGGGACGAGAGGCAGGGAATAGAGAGAACAGGAGACAAATGAGCGGCAGGGACAGAAAAGCAGCTCCCGGACAGCAGGCAGGAGACTGAGCAAAGTGCAGGGAGCCGCGGCTGCGGCAGGAAAGATGGATGGAGATGTTGACAGCAGCGCGGGGCTCCGAGTGAGCAGGGGCTGGCTGAGGGGACCGGGTGGGAAAGGAGACTGAGGAGTGGGCAGAGACAGGAAGGAAGTGGCTCGGAGCTAATGCACAGTGAAACACGTCCCCTGGAGACAGATAATTTCTCCAGCCATGCATAATGAGCACGTGCCTCTCTGCGTGCTGCCAGGACTGTCACAGTCACTTACGTTCTGCGAGGATCTCGCCCTGTCTACACTACTTATGCAAGGCTGGAAAGGAGGTTTCAGCTTCCTCACAGCCCCCTTCCCAACACAGTCAGGCTGAGGAGGGAAAAGCAGACAGCTCACAGAACAGCAACAGGGCAATGAGACAGGCTCAGAGATAGACACCTTTGGTTGTGGTGGTTTTGCTGTATCGGGGATTGAACCCATGTCC